CGGAGCAGTGTTTAATTTAACTGAATATGTAATACTCTTCCCAGCCCTAAATACGATCAAACTCTCTGCTCATCGCAAAAATCTTAAAATTACACGACAAGTACAATCTTAAATTTTGAACATGGCAAGACCAAATTAGCTGATAATTAATAATTAGCTGAAGCACATTCGTGGTAAACCTACGGAAACTAATTCTTGATTAAATAAAAGAAGGCTGTAAAATTCATTGAATATTTAATGGCAGTTATGACAAATCATTGGATAGTAATTCAATCCTATGGACATCTCTGAATAAAACTCCAAACTAGAAATCAACCGGGTTGATGAATTATCACACAGTTCAATTAACTTTTGATACAGATCACCCATCTCGACACATTTTTTATTTATTCGTTATTCATTTTTCTAATAAGTTTGCACTGTTACAATAAATAATGCTTAACCGAATTTAATTTTACCAAACAGTTTTTGAAATTTTTGTCAAATTTCGTCAAATTCTAATGAGTAGATTAGAGGAAATCGTAGTTTCTATCCATTGTCTATCGAAAGTCTAAAACAAGCGCCCTCACATTTTCCCTAAGTACGCATGCTCAACAATTGTGTGCGCTGGGGTTACTTAACCATTGTCACGCGATATGACAAAAGCGACGAAAACAGAATAAACTTCCACAGAAAACTTATGGCAAATTTCATCGGCTTGTACTGGCAGTTTTTCTAGAAAATCTCATTGGCCGCATACGTAATCATAATAAAAATGTTAACAGTAGAGGGATAAAGTCTTTCCTTCAGATCACGTGCGCGCTGAAACAATTTCGTCAGTGAAGTTTCTTAGCGCGCGCAACTTTATGTCAGAGACACTGTGTTCCCCCACCATAACAAAACTGAAAAACCAAACTTCAAACCCTGAGAAGATTTCGTTTTCTGTTTAAGCGGAAGGATGATATTATTTTATGTACTATGATGATTCCCAAATTAAACTAAAGCGCTCTCAATTAAACCCAAGCCAGTGCAGGCACTTCAACACTTTTATGAGCGTTTATTGCCATGGCCTGGCCATCGACGCATGTAAATTACCCTCAAATCTTACTGATATAGGGCAATATAATTATCCAGACACTTTAAATAGCACAAATGGCAGTTAACTTAATAGAAATATAATATTCTGAGCATATTGTTTGAGTCAAAGAAAACCTTTGCAACTTTTGAAGTAAATATATACGTGTTCTCTGTACAACCGATTACCAAATTTTTTTATTTTGCTACAAAAAATTTCCACTATAGTCATAAGAAAAAGTCAAATCCGACGGGGTAACCTTCATTTCTTGATGCTTTGTTCAGTGACAATTCTTATAGTTACGTTTTGCCCTTCATGTGTATCATCGAAGCACTGAACAGTAGCCTGAAGTCTGGAACTGTTTTGCAAGTTCACAGAAAACCATTCGGATGACGGATCAAACACTCAAATGAATCATGCAGGGGCACCCAACGAGACTTTAGTTCAAAACCGCTAAAACATTGCATTGTTAAACGTCTTTTGGTATTTAAACGGTAGATATAGGCATATTTTTATCCCCTAAAAATTTTTGATCTGTTCGGATTTCCTAGCTGAAAGTCTAGTGATCAGAAAATTATAGGGATCAAAACTTACCTTTTCGAAAATTTCAGCCAGAAAAAAGGCTCCCGAAAATTCTAGGTGACCTTTTTAGGGTAAAAATCCGTTAAAAATAGGCAATTATACCATATTTTAGATGTTCGAAAATCCTAGGGAAGCAGGCAAGCAAGAAATTTTACAACAAATGTTCCGAAAATTCTAGATCTCAAATCGTCTTCCGAACAGATATTTTTCCGAAAATTGTCGTTGGGTGCCCCTGATCATGCACAGCTATGTTAAGAGACTGAGTTAAGCATGTAAGAGCCCGTACAACTTTCGGCTGATAGCACCGTTTTTATCAATAAGATTTATTGCCTGTAATTTGTTTAATTTAATGATAAGTTAAAACAAAAAATACGAACTAAGAACAAACCTGGCTTCGAAGAGGCAGAAGAGAGTCTTGACAATTCTTCTACACCAGAGATCGTTTGAAGTGTGTTTGATCATCTTCATTGTGGCCAGTTTTCTGACTAAAAACAGTTTGAATCAACAAGAAATTGGTGTCTTCATTTATACGAGCGCTTGATTAAAATTCAGTTGCTACACCATGAGAAATATTTTTGTTTGTATAAAAATATGACAATGATACAGCAGAAACGCTTTAATAAGACTTATCTCAATACTGCGAGAAATGCACGCACTGAGGGTTCAACGACTGGTAATCAACACTTTTGTAGTAAAACTGGACACATTCAAAATTTGTCGACTCGCTCAACTTGGCTCTTGGGAAAAAAGGGTGAACAAGCATGGGACTTCATGGGGTTTTTTAAAAGTGATCTAAACTGCATAAAATATAAGGCAACGTTGCTGGGCTTTGACAATGCAGTGGGAAAAGGCCGCGCTTTCAATTCATCAATAAGGGATGCACCATTAGAAATGTGAAGGGGGGGGTAGGACTTTCTGGAAAGGCATGTTATTTTTTTCACAACCAGCAGGAGTGCAGGATTTTTTTTTCAACCTTCAAACCCTTGCACGATTTTTTTTTTCCAAAATGACTATGCCCTCTTTTGGTCTTGTTTTACTAGACTGTTTCAACCGCGCAAATGTTTTTTGTTGTAGTGTTCCAACAGAACACGTTTGTTTTAAGTATATTTTTTTCATACTAATTGAGATTTTCTATTGAAATTTGGCGTGTGAAAACCCTGTTCAGGGTTCGCAGCCAATCAGAATGGCGAAACGACTTTCACACACGTGAAAAAAAGCGTTTCGTCCAGTCACAGATGTTTAGTACATAATGTAATAGGACACCTAAACACGTGCAGTGTTAGACATGGACTTTTTTCGCATTGTATGTCAGATAAATCTCTCTCGCTTTCTGGATCTCACTCGCAAAGCCTTGCTCGTTCAATTTCTGATGCGAACCAACTCGTGCGTAAATACCGTACGCCCGCGCTGCCCATGAAGTAATCTATACGTTCAAACGTCCGAACTGAGTTCAGTGGCAGTTGAAACAGCTACACAAGCAGATCAAACGGTGTTTTACCCAAAGTAAAGTATTGCGAAGAAAGAGGAAGAAGAATGCTCTAAAGGAAAATAAAGAAAAACAAAGAAGAAATTTCAAGCAGGCGAGGACTGGAACACAGAGAAAGAACCTGAGGGAAGACAAGAAACAGAGAAACAGAAAGAAGGAAAGCAAGCATCTCAGTCCTTATCATGCAAGGACTGGAACACAGAGAAAGAACCTGAGGGAAGACAAGAGACAGAAAAACAGAAAGAAAAGGAAGAAGAAGAAGAAGAAGAAGAAGAAGAAGAAGAAGAAGAAGAAGAAGAAGAAGAAGAAAAAGAAGAAGTAAAACTGCAGCCAGCATGTCAGTCTTCATCAGGCGAGGACTGGGATACAGAGGAAGAACTTGAAGAACATTTCCTCTAAATCCTACCATATGTCTGTGGCCCATATGTTTAGGTTCAAGTTTTTATTAGAATGCACCATTTCTATTTATGGTTTTGCAAAGCATTCAAAATATTTTGTGTTAGTTTGGGTAAATAATATTCTTAATACTTTTAAATGCAGCGGGATCTGCAGTGTGATTGGTGTTTTTGGGACATCTACTTTTGTTTATAGCTGTAAACTTTATGGATTCAAGTAGCAACGCATATTGTACAACACCAACTCCATAAACTTGCGTGCAAGTGGAACTATTGACGTTGTTAACACAATCTCACTTTAATCCCATTAAAACAAAAGTATTTCAATAAAAAGTTTATTTAATTTATAAAGTTAAACAATTATCACCACAGTCTCTTAATTTAATACTATGGCAGCTATAGAGATCAAGGGCATCAGAGTTGGTTCAAATTGAAATCTCTATTTAGCCAGTAGAAATTGTTTTTTCTGCCTGAAATGTAGTTTGACATGAATTTAGGAAGTTGGGGAAGGGGATTTCCTGTTACAGATCACAGATTTATTTTTCAGACTGTGTAATATATTGTCGCAGTCACATTGGTTATCCAAGCAGGATATTTTTTTCTGGTTTCGTTGCAATGCAGGATTTTTTTTTCTTAAAATTTTGTTTTGCAGGATTTTTTTTTTTGTTTTTGGACTCCCCCCCCCTTCACATTTCTAATGGTGCATCCCTAAACAATAAATGCTTTGATTGGACGCATTCACAATAGAAAATTTGCCGACTCGATAAAACCGTGACGCGAAAACTGGTGATCAAAGAAAAGTAGCCGCGTTTTCACTACCTTCTGAATAAAGCAAAAAATACAGTCACAACTTCTTGGTGGACATTTATTCTCTTATTAGAAAAGCACAGAAAGTTGAAGAAATATTTGTTCTCTAGCCAGATTAATATTCAATCCAACTTGAGAAATATTTTTACCGACTTTACAAATAAACAGCAATCAGATGATAAATGATCACACCGACAGGTTCGTCAATTGACCACGAACAATAAACCGTACACAAGGGAATCCAGTCGTAACTGATCCGGATATTTTTAAAACTGCAAATATTTTTTACACGAAATCGGCTTTTCTCGCTAATGAAACCGCCTCTTTTTGACTTTCCAGGGTGATTTACACACGAATCCGGGCCCCTGAAACGTTTCAATAATGTCCGGGTTCGTGGAGACAGGGCCTTGGAGGCTTGAAACAAAACAAAAATAACAATGGTTAACGATGCGTTTTCGCATCGGTATCTTTTTAATAAATTTTTGCTCGAGCCTTATGTCAATGCGACGAGTAATGCACGCACTCTAGGCACAAAAATACTGAAGCAATCAATGCTTGAGAATTTGTGCAAGGTGGCATTCAAAGCAGCTTGTTGACTTGTTTATTTTCAATAGTTGGTGTGGTTCCTATACAAGTGAATACGCTTAAAACAATGCCCGTAACTCCAATAATGCCATTACACCGACCCTTTATTTTATAACCAGCACCGTATAGCAACAATTACGCAATCGAAATTGTATTTCTGAAAAAGGCGCTAACAAGGACTATTAATATTGTAATGAGCATTCCTTAAAAAAATTTCCTTTGTAACGGCAGATAATATACAGGCACTGAAGGAGAGCTCGTATTTCTTCTCTCCCCACAAACGCCGTTTGTGGGGAGGGAAGAAATACGAGCTCCCCTAAAAACGCCTGCGTGGGAGGCTACAAGCCATGTCGATAGAATAATTCCCGGAATAATTTTATAAAAGACAAAAATTGTATGTTTAAGAAATAACAGACTGTTCGGTGATTTTCTCAAACCTCTGTCACATAAACAGTTTAAACAGCATGCTTCAATTCCAAATCCACGTCTTTGATTTCGTAAAAATACAAAACTTGTAGTTTCAGCGTCAATTTTTCTCCTCAAGTTTATTTTAATATGACATACAATACTATTAAATACTTTTCATTTTGATAAATGTAATACTGAGGGAGGTTTCAAAAATGAAAATTTTTCTCTTTGCATGATTTTTATCCCACCTCCCCCATCACTTTTAAAATGGTTAGCCCCTAGACCAAACGTTAACGTAAAGAAGTGAACAAATGCCTTTTTCGGCATTTGTTTCACACATCGAGTAAAAAGGAAAGCCTAAAACGGCGCTACTCTCTCAGGTGTTCATAACGTTTAGTGGACTCAAAACTACAAAGTTGTACTCTTTATTAAGTTATGCATACTATTATCGGTTTTACTCGTCCAAAACCCTACACAAGATAGCACATGTTGCATGCTCTACTATTCCTGACTACTTTATCAGCTTCCCAGAATGATATCCGGATGGGAAACGCCCTTCGTTCCCCGGGAAAGAGAAGGCTGGGAACGAGACCTAAACATTTAAACATCTTTTCTTTTAACTGGCTGCCTGGCATTTTTAACTCTTAGGTTATTTCGGGCAGCCAGCGCCCCTATCATCGTCTGTACCATTGTTATAAATTTTTATTTCTTGTATATTATGGGGTGTAATAAAGTGTTGTTGTTGTTGTTGAGATTAGAAAGCCATATTTTGCAGGTGTAATAACCTCTTTGTGTGTGTATGTGCATTGCGTTTTTTAAATGAAAAATTGAGAAAATATGTGTAGCACATGCTTAACCACTTAAAGGCTTTACTAAGACGGCACTCAGCTGGTCAATACTCATTCAGACTTAGGTTCAGTTGTGTCTTTGGCCTTTTTGGCTGCAATACGCTTTTCAACTTTTTCTACAAACTTGATCACATCATCGGCGAACAGCTCTGGCTCTTCAAAAGCAGCATAGTGTCCACCACGAGGAATCTCAGAATACTGCACAATGTCAAGAAATAAGCTGTGCGTCCAGGGTTCAGGGGTGAGGAAAATCTCGTGAGGAAATTCTGCCAGCCCTGTAGGAACTGTTATTGGAATCCTGTAGTGATGAAAACAAATAACATTTTTTACAATCAAAAGCATCTTCAAAACACAGGACAGCATCAATTTAATGCATTGCTGGACAAAAATAGGCCAGTGTTACACTGCTGGTACAATAGGATGTATGTGCGCAATCGTAAATGTTTCAATGGAAACGCATGGAGTACAGATTTACTATTACAAAATCACAATACATAAAATCGTTTAGTATTGATTGTTTACTGAAGAACGTTTTCATAGCTTAACTGATCGTGGTCCTCTCTCCTTGCCTAGTTCAAAAAACAAATTGAAAACAGACCTCTCTGGCATATTTTTCTTCTTTCTTCTTTTTCTGTTTTCTTTTTTTTGTAAAACCTGTTCCCAGAACTTACCCAAGTAGCCTGTATTAAGTGCCAGCATGATCAGAGATGGCAATTAAAGCAGGGACTAAACACTAGCAGGACTGGTGATTTCTGGCATGTACAGGTGTTTAGGTGGTTCTATTTTTTGTTTGACTGACGAGGCTCGAAGAGGACTTTAAAACTTCTAGAACATTTTCAATTTCCTATACGTGCGTCTAATGTGGTAAAGACGTGATGTCTTAGTTTGCAAGTAGTTCAAGTTATTTTTTTCTATCCCTGTGAAAAACATGGGACTCTTTAAAGTCTAGGGGAGGCTAGGCAAGGCGACATTGATGTGGTTTACCTGGAATTCTTCACCCCCTCATAATTATCAACCTTTCCTTTTCCACAGTCAGGTCTTTAACTTGTGAACTTCCCACCTGCTTAAGGCCCATTAAAAAATTCACGTTCTCCAAGTTTAACTTTCCTGATGTACCCTCTGACATTATGGATATTTCAATGTTTTGAGCTTTCTCCAAGACTTTTGAAAGGAAACAGTTTTACTGCCCAATGCGTAAGGTGTGCTGGTGGGGAAAATCTAGCTAAGTACATAAAAATACAACAAACTACTGCTACAGTGTAAGTTAACCCTCCTTCTTTCCTCAACAACAAAACCTTCCCACATTAAATATCATATGCACAATTTATCCCCTGAGGCTGATTCCTGCCATTCATATCATTCAAATCACACTACTCCTACACTTCCAAACATGCCAACCTTTTATAATTTACACTGAAATGTAAACCTTTTTTTTAAGTACCCTAAGATCCATCTCCCTAGATTTAGTGCCCTTAAACTCAGTTACTAACCCTTCTGCTGCATGCTGCGCTTCGGCACTGTGCATTTCTTCATAGTACAACCTCATTGAGGATGTAATTGAGTGGGTTGCCCAATAGATCATTACATTGGTTAACAAGTCATCTTTGGAAAAGCAAGATTCTAAACACATTGCAGTATCAGTCATTTGACATCCACTCCCCATTGCAAACTTCTCCACGATGTATGCTGCCAGGCCAGCTGGTGAATCATTGGTTGCTAAGCCGACAGAGTGGGGACGAGTGGCTGAAAAAAAAAAAACAAAGTCATTTAGTGACATCATTATAATTACACAGATGTAAGCACCAGAAAGATCCTAGAAAGCAGAACTGACAACTTTTTGTTGGGTTTACATCCAAAAATTTTGGTCCATGTGTAGTTACCAAGTGTAGAAGGAATTAAATATGGAGGGCGAAAATATAACTTTCTGCTTTCTGCCTTTCTGCTTTCTTTACTGGTGATACTATCCACCTTTAAGTTAAGAATTATCACAACTATAAGTGCGTGGTAATGCCAAACGAAATGGTTGTCTGCTAGGAAGATCCGTTTACCAGGAAAATCCTTGTGAAGTTTATTGATCTTAAAAAATTAAAACATACATGTACACACAAACATCCTCTGCTCGAAAATAGCTTGGCTAATTGAGGCAGGGAGAGGAAAACATAAAGTAATCTATAACTAGGAAGAAATTAAGTAGAGGAAAGGAATAGGATAGCAATATAAGCACCAAAATTGTTGAGACATTGAACTCAAATAGGGTAACTTCAGGAAACAAAAGAATCCACACCCCTCCCCCCTGCCCTCCATTCAAAGTTGGGGTGACTGTTTTCTATAGGTAGCTCAAAAAGTGGCACAACATTGCATGACGGGATTGGGGAAGGAAAAGTTTTATTTTCCCCTTTTGAAGTCAGTGAAACGTCAGAAAGCTGGCCTCTTTAGGGAAAAGTGACTCAACTAATTCTGTCACCGATTGAAGATACATCTATATAAATGACACAAGAAGATGGACTGAGTTATAAAATATATGACAGATTAAGCAAAATGTTTGTTAAGGGTATTTGGAATTTCCAGTTGTTTGGCGGTAACAGTGTTATTGGGGCACTTAATACGAGAGATTGCTTAATGTTACTTTTTTGATGACTGATTAACACATTTATACCTTCCCATGTCTTCTTCATACATGTATTGCATACATTTTTGCATAAAGTACTATTGCGATTAAAATAATTTTCTTTTACTAATTCAAGAGAGATGCAATATTTTATTTCTGTGTTGAATTTCATACTCTCTGAATCTCCAGAAAAGAAAAGCTCATTCTTTAAGTCCTTATAGACTGTCTTATTCTAACCCTAAAAATGATCCATGGTTTTGACAGTTGCTTGTTTTTGCATGTAAACTGAATACACCAGGATGATCCGCGTTCTTGGATCTTCCTGGTGCTAGAATGTTCCTCCCTTCATATTGTAAACAGGCCCTTATTTAACAGGAATAACTTCCCTTTGCACTGACCTTGTAAGTGAAAATAACCTGACTCAGCCAGAAGTTTGAAAAACCAATTCTGGAGTGGGAAGATTTTCTTCTGTTCCTTCTCTGAGAAGAAAAGCTTTGCCTGTATTAAGGCAAATGGTGACCTCATAGGTGATCCAAAAATAACATGAGTAAGATGCAGTCCTCGAATGTGGCTAAACATTACAATAAAAACGACAGAATATTAGACTATATGTAGCCAGATTGTAGACTAATAGAAAGCAGGGGTCAGTGATATGCAATCATATGGGAGTTGCAAAAAGGGCCGGGTTTGAGAAACTATATATTTTCAAAGGGAAAATGGAACTAAACTGTTATTAAAAAAAGTTCATTTGAAGATGTACATTGAAAATCCACAAAAATTACACTGATAAAGTAAAGATTTTACCTTCAATTTGTATGGTGAAAAATTGAAATAGGTCAAATGGCTTGAGACGAGGGCATATCTCCCACAGGTTTTGTAGCTTGTATATATAGCCGGTGGTTTTTCGTTTTTGGCTAATAAAGTGAGATTCAGCTGTGTGAAAGCAGTGAACCGAGGTAAAACAAGAAAGCAATGGGAAAGTCAAAGAGGAGGGCGAGGGGCTTGATTGATCTTACATGTTTTCTTCTTGACCTTGCATGCAGATGTCTATCGAACACACACACAAAAAAAACACAAAAAAACTGCCAGCTACGCAGGCTAGTGTATTTTGTTACACCCTCCAATACAATTTATTTATAGGCCTGCCCTTCAAAAATGCAGACAGTAAAATTAAAGCCCTTCTACAATTACGTGGAGGCTTGTGTGGCTGAGCAGTTAACAACTCGAAACATGAAAAAAGTGGGCTATCTTTCTCAAGTTTTAATACTGTGACTGCAAAAATCATCAAAAAATTATTATGGTCAGGGCTCCCTGATGAAATTTGTTTGATAGTCTTCTTCAAAACTCTACAGGTGCATTTTGTTTATGGGTAAGAGCTAAGTAATAACTTCAGCACAGAATTGATCCCCAGAACAGCGATACCCTTGCGAAATGAATTCCCAGCTTTCTGGGAATTCCTAGGAATTCTTGAGAATTCCTAGGAATTCCCAAAAATTCCCAACTATGCAAATCAGCCTTCATCAAATAAGCTTGGAATTCTTGAGAATTTTTGGGAATGGCAAATTAGGTCTCACTCTAGGCTTGGAATTCCTAGGAATTCCTAGGAATTCTAAGTGTTACAATTTTAGAAGCTTAAGAATTGTTGAGAATTTCTGGGAATAGAAAAATTCAGGCCAACTGGGCTTGGAATTCCTGGGAATTCCTAGGAATTCTAAGTTATGCAAATTAGGAATTCAGCTCAGGGATGTTTAAAAATCAGAAAGACTAAAAATTGTAGAAGATTTTGTAGTCTTTTCTTATTTTTTCACATTTTAATTTTAAGTGATTGCACTGAAACAATTCTAAACTTATAATACAGAACATACTGGTAATGTATACTTCTATACTTACATTCTTATATTCAACTCAATGTTACCTTAAATATGGTAATGCTGACATGTGGCGAATGCTGTTCACAAACCTCCAACCAGTATTTAAATTAAGATAACAATTTAACGTATCTAAATTACATTATTACAGCATATTACAGCAATAAATATTTAAAGCTGTTACATGTCCAGTACACTTTCAGTACAAAATGTTGTCTGAAATGAGAAGTCTCGTTTTTAAAAATATGAAGTGCATTTCCAGTCTGAAATGTACGTTGTTTATCCACATACTCCACGGAAATTAGGCAAACGCACAAGACATGGGCTGTCTTGATTCCCTTCAACCCTTGCATCAGGAGTGCAGTCAAAAGCATGGCAAGCCCGGCCAAGCCCGGAACAACGGCCACAACACGTTTTTCGTCGCAGTTCTTTGATTGATAATGTGGTCCAACATTTTCTTTCCCAACTTAAAAGAACAGCGTTAAGTTTACTTCTTGCTTTTAACACTTCAAATGCGTTGCTTCATCTTAATTAACGTTGAAAATAACTGCTATTTCGACCCAAACGGGAGCACTTCGCAAGATGGACCTCGCAAGACGAGATTAGCCGCCATGTTTTCTTGTTTCCCAGGCTTCCACGCGTGCCTTTGCCACATGCGCGATTTGATTTACTTTGTCACGTGTGACTCTTGAACCAATAGAAAAGTGCCAAATGAACTTCCGTTGAATAGTTCAAATTCACGCGGACTTCACAAGCAACAAAGTATTTTCGTAAGACTGTCTTTCTATTATCCATGTTATTTTCGAGACAAATTGATCAATTGCGAAGTTTGTGTTCACATAAAGCATGTTTGCAAGTGAGTTTACTCAGCTGGATTAATGTGGAAAGGTATGTTTTCTGATAACTTTGCGTAAATAAGCTTACAAAGTTGAAAGATGCATGCGAAGATATGCCATTGATCAGATCCCTTTTTGCTGCTTTTTGTTTACTGCAGATCGAAAGAACTGTACTCTTTGTTGCAAATAGTCAGTGGAATACTCTGAAAACTGTATGTTCTGGCGCTACAAGGTTATAGCAGACTTGTCAAGACCAATGTTAGATAAAATAGGAGAAGAAATAGCATAATGGCTACTTATACAAGTTAGAAGCAATGAAATTTCCAGTTAATTTATAAGGACTTGAGACTTGAACTTACATATAAAATATTAGAATACAGCCGGTAGGTTTGTTCATTTGAACTTTAATTCATAGTATAAGTTGCATAAGGTTTTATATTAAATGCTTGTGGTACATGTAGTCTTAGTAATCGCTGCAATATTAAGGTCAAAAACAACTAGCACTAGCACTTGCCTGATGTGTGGACCTTCAGTTCAGAAGGCTGCATCGGCGACATTGGAAAAAGCAGTCATTTAGCTTTTTTTCATATTCATGCACTGTATTAATTATTCAAAGATGTTTATTTACATGCATGTGTGTGGAATGTGGTGATGTGTATGTTGGGTAAAATAAATTACGAAAAAGAGAATGTTCAGCTGATGTTGTCATTTGGATTAAAAACAAACACTATCTGTAGATTCCACCAACAGGGTATGTTTTTATATATTTTTTTCAATCATGACTGTAGGTATATGTTACTTTACATTATCTCACTATCTAGAGATTCCACCTGAACAGGTTATGTTTTACATTTTTTTTTTCAATCATGACTATAGCGATAGTTTACTTTACACTACATGTATATCTATGTGTAAGTAAGTATATCTATATCTAAGTTTGTTCATATGTATATAAGGACCACAGTCATTATACTGAATTATTTGATTCCTACTTCACAAAAGTCATTGTCTTAAATTTGATTTTTTGAGGTCACTGTTGTAATTTTTGGAACATTTAAACGATCAGTGCAGTGAAATTTTTAAGTCAAGGTAAAGCAGAAGAAGTATTTTTTGTTAACATGGAGAGCCATTTTTCAGTTATTGCTGGAATAAACATTGCTTCAGTTTTTGTACATTTGCCTTATGGGTTTCTGGTTCGGAGAGCAAAATAGCAACCTCTAGTATTAACTTCCTTAGCATAAGGGTTTAAATGCAAATCAGTTTTTGATTCGAATATCCCTTGATTCCGGCAGCAGGTCGATTTGTTACATCCCTATTGACCTAGCTATTCCAAGCTATTCCAAGGAATTCCTAGGAATTCCTAGGAAATTCCTAGGAATTCCTAAGAAGTAATCATTCTGTTTATATTCTTTCAATCCCTATTGACCTAGCTATTCCAAGCTTTTCCAAGGAATTCCTAGGAATTCCTAGGAAATTCCTAGGAATTCCTAAGAAGTAATCATTCTGTTTATATTCTTTCAATTCCTAGGAATTCCTAAGAATTCCTAGGAATATTTTCCAAGCCAACTGATGGGTGAGCAAAGCTTGGAATTCCTAGGAATTCTTAGGAATTCCATGTTCCAATTACCGTGAAATTTCACACCTTGATTCCTAGGAATTCTTAAGAATTCCTAAGAATTCCTAAGAATAAATTCTTAGGAATTCTTAGGAAAATCCTAGGAATTCCTAGGAATTCTCAATTCCATTTCGCAAGGGTATAATCCTTGTGACATAACTCTATAAGGTTACAAGATTAAAGAAAGGTTTAAGGTTTGTTTGTAGTGGGAAGTGCACTTAGCTTATCCAGCTAGTTTACAGGCACTCTACTCAAATACTTAGGAACAAATAATGTCAATAGAAAAACCCCAACTGATAGGTGGCAACCAGTTGATTATTTGAAAGCCTGGTTGAAGATTTGAACTCGGGACAACCAAGAACAAATCCAGCAAGTGGCCAGGCTGGGTGAGACTCGCCGGACTACGAGTCTCACATGCAGACTACCCCGCCACACTGCCTGGGATAATTAGGGTGATGATGGGTATTCTTGGAGGGGGTGTGTTGCCCAGTTTTCCAATCCTGACCCTGTCTCAGACCAAAAAATGTCAACCGATTTTAAATTCGCATATCACTCTTTCTTTCTTATTCACTTGGAGTTGAAGCAACAATAATTTACACTCATACACTCCCATAACTCCCTCAAAACCCATACCTGATTCCATACCAAGATGGGCAAAGTGTATAACCATTTTCAGACCGAAATGGCATAAAAACAACACCCATTGGGGCGGCACATAATTATATACCTATTTGGCTTATATAATAAGTGATTAAGGGTAAGGGTGCTGGCCACCTTAAGTCACAACCCTACACTCTGTTACTGTTTGCTTAAAGGCAGTCAGCAGTCTTGTCATTGTTAAAATGATTCCTTTCTCACCTTGGATTCATAATTGCCATTGCTCTAGTGATAATACTGCCCCAGTCTCCGCCCTGAACATAATACGACTCATATCCAAGCCGATCCATCAGCTGGGTAAAAACACGAGCTGCAGAAATTGAATTAAAGCCTGGCTTATGAGGAGCTTCAGACAAACCATAGCCTGGTATAGAGGGGCAGACAATTGCAAAGGCATAATCATCTGTGGAAGCAGCAATCAATTTTGGAATGACTTTGTAGAACTCATAAAATGACCCAGGCCATCCATGCACCATCATTATAGCGATCAAACGCTGACCTTCTTTTAGTTGATCTGGTTTATAATGCACAAAGTGAACCTCTATTCCGCTTATCTTTGTCTTGAACTGAGGATAAGTGTTAATAAGTGTCTCCTGTTTGCGCCAATCAAAATTTGTTTTCCAGTACTCAACAAGTTGTTTCATATAGTCAGGGTTTATTCCATATTCCCAATCGATTCCCTCCAAGTTTTCAAAGAAGTACGTCTTAGAAAGTCTGTCCTTAAGATCAGACAGGATTTCATCGGATAAACTCATATAAATTCGGTTAATGGAAGTGTCTTCTTTCTGCTCGCGGCTCTCTTGTCCTTTCCCCCACCATTCATGTTCATCGATCCGAGGCACCTCGCCAGTCGGGAACAGGTATTTGCTTAGTAGCATAGGAATAACTACGATCGAGATACCGGCGATCACCACAAAAACCGCACAACAGGTCTTGAAGCCCATTTTTGAGTGTACTGGAAGCAAAATATGGACAAAAAACCACTAGCTTCAGTGTAGCTTGTCTTGAAGCTTCTTCCCTTTCTTCTTAGTAAAACTTCGCGCGCTCTTTTCTCTCGTGACAGTCACGCAATCAAGGTACGAAACCCAACTGGGGTACTGGTCCGGGTTATTTAATAGACGGCGGGGTTAAGGTTAGTGCGATATAACATGTAACAGCTTGCAAAGCAAATTCGGTTTAATTCCCTTTGGTCTGCAATTTGATGATTAGATGCTCTTAAAAGAAGAGGAAACATTAAGTCCGGGTTAGAATTTACCCCGGGGTTAACGCTACTCAGCCGTTCGAACAACTGGGCTCAGGGGACGTGGCTGGATACACGCCTGTCTCAACCCGCCTGAGCAACGTTCCCCTGTCGTCAACAAGCGATGTCACTTTTTCTATTGAAAAAAACTTAGAAAATGGTAATGACCAACATTCATATTTTTCGTTTCTAATACTGGCTCTTAGAAACACCATACGTCAGTACCAAACCAGTTCCAATTAAGCGTAGGGCATTTGTGCATGCCGGGCACAGTGTCAGGAGTGGTTGTTCCCGAGGCTAGGGTAGGGTATATGTCAGCAACCAAGAGTAAAAATAATTCTGCCAACTACACAGGCTGCTATTGCTGTTGAGTTTGTTTTCATTCTGAATTATTTTTTAAGATAAGAAGAGTTCTTCTTATCCTTGTGCCCGGAGTGCCCAGTCGCTATTCATGTGTTTTGGGGGTGAGAGAAGAGTGGGGGTTAGGTTGAGGCGCGCGCGGTTTTTATGGGAAGGGACGAAGTAAAAATAGCGACCCGTCCCTTCCCATGAGACCCCGCGCGCGCCTCAACCTAACCCCAACTCTTCTTTCACCCTCAAAACTGGGTACGAGTCTGCTACTATGGGGTTCTAGCGATGTAAAAATGACAAATGACCGGAGAGAGAGCACACTTGTAATTGATCGACCGGGCCATACGTTATTACGACTTTAGGTCATTATTAAGCGAATAGTGTTAAAAACCTCATGGTATATCCAGCTACCAATAGACAATGAATGAAATGACATATCTGGTCACTGTCTGATATGTGGGTAACGGGGTTGGGGACTGAACCTGATGGGCCTTCGTTTACCCTATAAATACTGATCAATACTGGGAAGAACTCTCTCTCGTTGGCTTTGTAGTACGAAAACACACTCGTCAGTGACATTTCTAGTCGGAACTGAAGTGCTTGCTCATCTTGCTCTAGCTCTATTGCCGTGCTTCAACCAGATCATTTCCCTCTCCGTAAAAACTCAAAGAATAGCCGGTATTCACTACAAAATAAAAGGCTCTAGCCTGCGTAGCATGCCGGTTTTGGTCTGGCGCCAAACAAAAGGTGGGCGACGGCAGTGCAACCTCGTCCCCAGGGCTTTCCCCTTAAAAAAATGGGTGGCCCCACCCATTTTTTAAGGGAAAAGCCCTGGGGACGAGTGAGGGCAGTGGCATTGCCAGGAAATTGGGAGGCAGGGTTAAAAAGGCTAAAAAGGTTTCCGCATCAGTAAGCGCCACACCTCCAAGAAGAAGAGTGTCGTAACTAGAGCTTGCACTTGCTACCAAATACAGTAGAACCCAGCCTTACGAACACCCGTCTATACGATCTCCTGGCTATTACTACCACATTCTTTCCACCCAAATCGGAAAAAAAATACTCGTGAGTCATTTCAGTTATCTGTTTATTATTTTAAAGAGCCTGTCAACACGATCATCTCGGGAACTGTGTTGCTCCCGACGTGGAGGAGTAAAACATGAAAATTTGGTTTTATCAACTTTTGATAAAAGTCAATTTACCATAGTCGTAAAAGGATGGAAAAGGGCTACAGTAGCTCGCGCTCTACTAACTGAACGCCTGGAATAGGGTAGCTCTTGGTCAGTGTAGAGTGAAAATCAAGGGACTCTGAGGTTATTGTGGTTTTTATTCGAAGAGCGACGCCTTTGGTTGAAACTTGATTAACTTGACATTCATGCAGTTGAGTGAAGGGCGTTGATTGATTCCGTAGGGATTTAGAGTGCCGATTCGGTATATTTATGTTTTACTCAAACAGCAGTAGGAAGCTGAGTACAAAAACATTTCAAAAAATACCATTCTTTACCAAAAGATTTTAAGAAGAGTCATTCTTTTGATGGCAACGTATGTGTTTCACATGCTGCAAGCATTATGAAACGAGCACATCAGGAAAATAATCTTTGTTAATCATCCATAACCACTTCTTTGATATATAGTTTTTTTGCTCTAAGACAATCAGCTGATCAATACTTATTGAGACTTAGATTCAGCTGTGTCTTCGGCCTTTTTGGCTGCAATACGCTGTTCAACCTTTTCTACAAACATGATCACATCGTTGGAAAACAGCTCTGGTTCTTGAAAAGCAGCAAAGTGTCCACCACGAGGAAGCTCAGAATATTGCACAATATCAAGAAATATGTTGTGAACCCAGGGTTTAGGAGTGGGGAAAATCTCGTGGGGAAATTCTGCCAGCCCTGTAGGAACTGTTATCGGACACCTGCAGAATGACACAAAGCAAGTGAAATTAATTGAAATCCTCACGGCACAAAGATCACGGCGTAGGATGCGAACGCAAACGTATTTCCAGACGTGGCTTCTTTCCACTCGGAAAGTAACTTACTATCTTATTATTTAGCTTGCAGTAATTATTTCGGGTGGAAAAAAGCAACAACCGGAAATACATCCGCGTTCACAGACTCGTCGCGGTGACAAATGAGGGGTCAATTCAACCAAACTTTTACAAGTATAATAATTTACAATTGTAGCCATTGTTTTAGAATCTAACAACAATAGCTACACTTGTAAATTACCCTTGTGAAAGTTTTATTAAATTGACCCCAGTACTTGTATCCAGGTTGGGCGGCAAGTTGCAGACAAAGTTCGCAGCGACACGTCGCATTGGTATCCGGTCACCTCACCACAAACGAAATCACCACCATATCGACAAGACAATTACCTACCGACACTTGAATTTTACAATGAAATTTAAGGAGGTGAGGGCCAAGCGACAATATTACCTTACAGTCGAGTCTCGCTTTATGGACACCCACCCACTCTATACGGACACCTTGTTATTACAGACAGTTTTCTTTACCTCTAGGGAAGGTACTTACAAATTCTCTTCGACCCGCTTAAGATGGACATCCGTTAATGCGGATAACGGACACTTGTTTCTCGCCCAATAGGCAGATTCTCACTGAGAAAGCCAACCTCGCTAATGAGGACATACCAACTGTGTGTAGACTGTGTAATATAGCCCTTCCTTTTTTGGCACGAGTCCCCTTATCGTTTATAATAAAGTACGTATAAAGTGGGGAATTTAAAATTTTGTCTGACCTTCCGTTCGCCGAAACAAACATCTCCTCCCAGCAGAGGTAAGGAGCGTTATCATTAAATCGGGATGAATGATAAATCTTTCGCATTATATTGATGTATTTGCCCGTCTGAAGGGTACGTCTCGTCCATTGCTTGTAACCTCCTTGATGGCGTCACTGTTTAACCCATTTTTCTAATTAAAAACTATTGCATTATCCTTCGTATTCATTTACTGAAAATGTCCTACGGAAAACGCAGACATTGATTTCTGAGCCCCCACCCCTAGTCCCTTGGGCGCTCCCCCTCACCGGGTCCACCCCCAGTCCCTTGGGCGCTCCCCCTCACCGGGTCCACCCCCAGTCCCTTGGGCTTAATTTATTTGAAAGAAACTTATCTTGTTTGTACGTACCTTCCTCGTTTTTCATCACTTGTGTGGTTTGTTGGTTGAATTTTTTTAAATCTTCTTTTCTCTTTTTATATTTACATAATCAGATTTGAAATGCAAATATATTTGTTTAACTTTGTTTTTAACTGGTAATTATTTCTAAGGGATGCAAAAGCATCTCTGAGTATGAAGTAAGGGCTATTATTTTGAATAATAACCTATATTTCTACTCAGGTACCAATAATAACTACCTTCTGGTGTAAAAACAATTGAACTGTGCATTACATGTGTACGCCTGTCGGTAGCCTACGTAAAGGCAAACGGAAATAGTTGTATTAAAGATACCTGAACCTGTGGTGTCTTAAAGAAAAATTTTTAGATATCAATGTGGAAAAAGCTTGCTCCTGTAAATGATCGAAAAATGTTTTATAGATATTCCGCTTATCTGATTGTCTTAATTCATAGAAAGAACACTTACCACAGGTTTGGCATGTAAAAATAATCAAGAACATAGACAAAGAAGTTGGCTGCAAAATCCTGTTAAGGACGGCGGCAGTTTTAAAATTTTATTGTTTCTTTTTTGAAGACTGTCTTGCATAGCATTGTTTGTTCCTGGCATAATTCTGTAATCCTGCAAAAAAATAACAAGTTTTAGCATTTGTTCTTATTACTACCATTTCAAATCATTGCAAGTATTATATAACCTTTACTTTGATGTTATTTTCTTACTATAGTATTTTCTCCAAACCATTTTTTAGTTAGTCTTTACTGTCAACTGAAACGTTACGGAGCAGTGTTTAATTTAACTGCAGATGTAATACTCTTCCCGGCCCTAAATACGATCAAACTCTCTGCTCATCGCAAAAATCTTAAATTACACGACAAGTACAATCTTAAAGTTTGAACATGGCAAGACCAAATTAGCTGATAATTAATAATTAGCTGAAGCACATTCGTGGTAAACCTACGGAAAATAATTCTTGATTACATAAAAGGAGGCTGTAAAATTTATTGAATACTTAATGGCAGTTATGACAAATCATTGGATAGTAATTCAATCCTATGGACATCTCTAAATAAAACTCCAAACTAGAAATCAGCTGGGTTGATGAATTATCACACAGTTGAATTAACTTTTGATACAGATCACTCATCTCGACACATTTTTTATTTATTCATTATTCATTTTTCATTTTTCTAATAAGTGTGCACTGTTACAATAAATAATTTTACCAATTTTTGTCAAAATTCGTCGAATTCTATTAAGTAGATTTGAGGAAATCGTAGTTTCTATCCATTGTCTATTGAAAGTCTTTAAAACAAGCGCTCTGACATTTTCCCTAAGTACGCATGCTCAACAATTGTGTGCGCTTGGGTTACTTAACCAGGGTCACGCGATATGACAAAAGCGACGAAATCAGAATATATTTCTACAGAAAACTTATGGCAATTTTCATCAGTTTGCACTCGCATTTTTTCTAGAAAACCTCATTGGCTGCATATGTAATCATAATAAAGATGTTAACAGTAGAGGGATAAAATCTTTTCTTTAGATCACGTGCACACTGAAACAATTTCGTCAGCGAAGTTTCTCAGCGCGCGCAACTTTATGTCAGAGAAACTGTGCTACCCCACCTTAACAAAACTGAAAAACCAAGCTTCAAACCCTGAGAAGATTTCGTTTTCTGTTTAAGCGGAAGGGTGATAATATTTTATGTACTATGATAATTCCCAAATTGAACTAAAGCGCTCTCAATTAAACCCAAGCCAGTGCAGGCACTTCCACCCTTTTATGAACGTTTGTTGGCATGGCATTGCCATCGACGCATATAACTTACCCTCAAGTCTTACTGATATAGGGCAATTATTCAGACACTTTAAATAGCACAAATGGTAGTTAACTAAACAGAAATATAATATTCTGAGCATATTGTTTGAGTCAAAGAAAACCTTTGTAACTTTTGAAGTAATACGAGTTCTCTGTACAACCGATTACCAAATTTTTTATTTTGCTACAAAAAATTTCCAACTATAGTCATATCCGACGGGGCAACCTAAGTTTCTTGATGCTTTGTTCAGTGACAATTCTTATAGTTACGTTTTGCCCTTCATGTGTATCATCGAAGCACTGAACAGTAGCCTGAAGTCTGGAACTGTTTTGCAAGTTCACAGAACACTTTGGATGACGGATCAAACACTCAAAATGAATCATGCACAGCTAGCTATGTTAAGAAACTGAGTTAAGCATGTAAGAGTACAACTTTCGGCTGATAGCACCGTTTTTATCAATAAGATTTACTGCCTGTAATTTGTTTAATTTAGTAATGTCAAAACAAAAAATACGAACTAAGAACAAACCTGGATTCGAAGAGGCAGAAGACAATCTTGACAATTCTTCTACACCAGGGATCGTTTAAAGTGTGTTTGATCATCTTCACTGTGGCCAGTTTTCTGACTAAAAACAGTTTGAATCAACAAGAAATTGGTGTCTTCATTTATACGATCGCTTGATTAAAATTCAGTTGCTACAACATGAGAAATATTTTTGTTTGTATAAAAATATGACAATGAGTCACCAGAAACGCTCTAATAAAAGTTATCTCAATATTGCGAGAAATGCACGCACTAAGGGTTCAACGACTGGTAATCAACACTTTTATAGTTAAAACTGGACACATTTGAAATTTGCCGACTCGCTCAGTTTGGCTCTTGGGAAAAAAGGTGAACACGCATGGGACTTCATGGGGTTTTTTAAAAGTGACCTAAATTTAACTGCATAAAGTATAAGGCAACGTTGCTGGGCTTTGACAATGCAGTGGGAAAAGGCCGCGCTTTCAATTCATCAATAAACAATAAATGCTTTGATTGGACGCATTCACAATAGAAAATTTGCCGACTCGATAAAACCGTGACGCGAAAACTGGTGATCAAAGAATTGTAGCCGCATTTCCACTACCTTCTGAATAAAGCAAAAAATGCAGTCACAACTTCTTAGTGGACATTTATTCCGTTATTAGAAAAGCTCAGAAAGTTGAAGAAAGATTTGTTCTCTAACCAGATTAATATTCAATCCAACTTGAGAAATATTTTTACCGACTTTACAAATAAACAGCAATCAGATGATAAATGATCAGCCCACGAACAATAAACCGTACACAAGGGAATCTAGTCGTAACTGATCCGGATATTTTAAAACTGCAAATATTTCTTACACGAAATCGGCTTTTCTCGCTAATGAAACCGTGTCTGTTTGACTTTCCAGAGTGATTTCCACACGAATCCGGGCCCCTAAAACGTTTCAATAATGTCCGGATTCGTGGAGACAGGGCCTTGGAGGCTTGAAACAAAACAAAAATAACAATGGTTAACGATGCGTTTTCGCATCGGTATCTTTTTAATAAATTTTTGCTCGAACCTTATGTCAATGCGACGAGTAATGCACGCACTCTAGGCACAAAAATACTGAAGCAATCAATGCTTGAGAATTTGCGCAAGGTGGCATTAAAAGCAGCTTGTTGACTTGTTTATTTTCAATAGTTGGTGTGGTTCCTGTACAAGTGAATACGCTTAAAACAATGCCCGTAACTCCAATAATGCCATTACACCGACCCTTTATACCTAGCACCGTATAGTAACAATTACGCAATCGAAATTGTATTTCTGAAAAAAGCGCTAACAAGGACTATTAATATTGTAATGAGCATTCCTCAAAAAAACTTCCTTTGTAACGGCAGATAATATACAGGCACTGAAGGAAAACTTTTATATTTGGATTAAATAAGCAGGAACAATAATGTGGTTTCCTCAAGCCATGTCGATAGAATAATTCCCGGAATAATTTTATAAAAGACAAAAATTGTATCTTTAAGAAATAACAGACTATTCAGTGATTTTCTCAAACCTTTGTCACATAAACAATTTAAACAGCATGCTACAATTCCAAATCCACGTCTTTGATTTTGTAAAAATACAAAACTTGTACTTTCAGCGTCACTTTTTTTACTCAAGTTTATTTTAATATGACATACAATACTCGGGACAATACTATTAAATACTTTTCATTTTGATAAATGTAATACTGAGGGAGGTTTCAAAAATGAAAATTTTTTTCTTTTTGCATGGTTTTACCCCACCTCCCCCATCACTTTTAAAATGGTTATCCCCTAGACCAAACGTTAACGTAAAGAAGTGAACAAATGCCTTTTTCGGCATTTGTTTCACACACCGAGTAAAAAGGAAAGCCTAAAACGGCGCTACTCTCTCAGGTGTTCATAACGTTTAGTGGACTCAAAACTACAAAGATGTACTCTTTAAGTTATGCATACTATTATCGGTTTTACTCGTCCAAAACGCAACACAAGACAGCGCATGTTGCTTGCTCTACTATTCCTGACTACTTTATCAGCTTCCCAGAATGATATCCGGATGGGAAACGGCCTTTGTTCCCCGGGAAAGAGAAGGCTGGGGATTAGCGAAAGCCATATTTTGCAGGTGTAACAACCTCTTTGGGTGTGTATGTGTATTGCGTTTTTTAAATGAAAAATTGAGAAAATATGTGTGGCACATGCTTAACCGCAACTAGATTAGGAAAAAAAGGCTTTACTAAGACGGCGCTCAGCTGGTCAATACTCATTCAGACTTAGGTTCAGTTGTGTCTTTGGCCTTTTTGGCTGCAATACGCTTTTCAACTTTTTCTACAAACTTGATCACATCATCGGCGAACAGCTCTGGCTCTTCGAAAGCAGCAAAGTGTCCACCACGAGGAATCTCAGAATACTGCACAATGTCAAGAAATAAGCTGTGCGTCCAGGGTTCAGGGGTGAGGAAAATCTCGTGAGGAAATTCTGCCAGCCCTGTAGGAACTGTTACTGGAATCCTGTAGTGATGAAGAAAAAATAACATTTTTTACAATCAAAAGCATCTTCAAAACACAGGACAGCATCAATTTAATGCATTGCTGGACAAAAATAGGGCCAGTCTTACAATGCTGGTACAATAGTATGTATGTACGCAATCGTAAATGTTTCAATGGAAATGCATGGAGTACAGATTTACTACTACAATAGGGCCATTTATACGAGGAAAAATAAGACGCGTCTTAAATAAGACGCGAACTGTACCATTTATACGAGCATGACTTATCTAATAAGACGCGTCTTAGCTAAGCCGCGTCTTATTTTAGACGAAATGTGCCGTTTATACGGAAAGTTGGCGTCTTATTTAAGACGCGTCTTATGAAAGACGCGTCTTATTTTTACTCGTATAAATGGCCCTATTATCACAATACATAAAATCGTTTAGTATTGATTGTTTACTGAAGAAAGTTTTCATAGATTAACCGGATCGTGGTCCTCTTTCCTTGCCTAGTTCAAAACACAAATTGAAAACAGACCTCTCTGGCGTATTTTTCTTCTTTCTTCTTTTTCTCTTTTTTTTTTTGTAAAACCTGTTCCCACAACTTACCCAAGTAGCCTGTGTTAAGTACCAGCAGGATCAGAGATGGCAATTAAAGCAGGCAATAAACGCAAACAGGATTGGTGATTTCTGGCATGTACAGGTGTTTCGGTGGTTCTATTATTTTTTTTTTTGGACTGACGAGGCTCGAAGAGCGAAATATATTTCGAGGATTTTAAAACTTCCAGAACATTTTTATTTTTACATTTTACATTTCTCATATACGTGCGTCGAATTTGGTAAAGACATGCTGTCTTATTTTGCAAGTAATTCAAGTTATTTTTTTCTATCCCTGTGAAAAACATGGGACTCTTTAAAGTCTAGGGGAGGCTAGGCAGGGCGACATTGATGTGATTTACCTGGAATTCATCACTCCCCTTATAATTATCAACTTCTCCTTTTCCACAGTCAGGTCTTTAACTTGTGAACTTCCCACCCGCTTAAGGCCCATTAAAAAATTCAGGTTCTCCAAGTTTAACTTTCCTGATGTGCCCCCTGACATTATGGATATTTCAATGTTTTGAGCTTTCTCAGAGATTTTTGAAAGGAAACAGTTTTACTGCCCAATGAGACGTCGGGCTGGTGGGGAAAATCCAGCTAAGTATATACTGAAAAATCATAACCACAGACTACTGCTACAGTGCAAGTTAACCCTCATTCTTCCCTCAACAAAAAAACCTTCCCACATTAAACACCGTAAAAGTCCGAAAATAAGCCCCTCCATGTATAAGCCCCTCAAAATCGTAACGCAAAAAACCCTCCGTTAGATCGCCCCTCCGAATATAAGCCACCCGGGGGGCTTGTACATGGAATTTGCTCTCAAATACAAAGTGAAACAAAGCAAAAATGGTAAATTTCCTCCTACTACAAGCTAGCCCAATCGATTTTGAAACGCAAATTTCCCTCCGTACATAAGCCCCTCCGAATATAAGCCCCTCCAGAATTATTTTCGGAATTTTACGGTATCTTATGCAAAATTTATCCCCTGTGGCTGATTCTTGCCCTTCATATCATTCAAATCACACTTACTCCTACATTTCCAAAAAACATCCCAACCTTTTATAATTTACACTAAAATGTAAACCTCTTTTTTAATTACCCAAAGATCCTTCTCCCTGGATTTAGTGCCCTTAAACTCAGTTACTAACCCTTCTGCATGCTGCGCTTCGGTACTGTGCATTTCTTCATAGTACAACCTCATTGAGGATGTAATTGAGTGGGTTGCCCAATAGATCATTACATTGGTTAACAAGTCATCTTTGGAAAAGCAAGATTCTAAACACATTGCAGTATCAGTCATTTGACATCCACTCCACATTGCAAACTTCTCCAGGATGTATGCTGCCAGGCCAGCTGGTGAATCATTGGTTGCTAAGCCGACAGAGTGAGGACGAGTGGCTGAAAAAAAAACAAAGTCATTTAGTGACATCATTATAATTATACAGACGTAGGTAATGTTTACATGAAAAGAGGAAAATCCTAGCACCAGGAAGATTCCTAGAAAGCAGAACTAACAATGTCTTGTTGGGTTTACATCCAAAACTTTCGGTCCATGTGTGGTTACCAAGTGTAGAAGGAATTAAAGACCCAGGGCGAAAATATAACAACAATGGAATCTGGGCCTTTCTGCTTTCTTTACTGGCGTTACTATCCATCTTTAAGTTAAGAATTATCACAACTATAAGTGCGTGGTAATGCCAAACAAAATGGTTGGCCTGCTATATATCCACTGAACAACCAGCCTCCATTTTGTGTGATGTCTCCCTAGTGCTGGGATCTTCCCAGAAAAAAAAGTTTTCATGGTCCTAGGATCTTCTTAACCTCTCTGCTAGGAAGATCCTATTACTAAGAAAATCCTTGTGAAGTTTATTGATCTTAAAAAATTAAAACATACATGTACACACAAACATCCTTTGCTCGAAAACAGCTTGGCATATTGAGGCAGGCAGAGGAGAACATAAAGTAATTTATAACTAGGAAGAAATTAAGTAGAGGAAAGGAACAGGATAGCAATCAGCACCAAAATTGTTGAGACATTGAACTCAAATAGAGTGACTTCAGGAAACAAAAGAATCCACAACCCTTAATTCTTATTTTGCATAAAATCTTGTTTACTAATTCGGGAGAGATGCAATATTTTATTTCTGAGTTTAATTTACACTTTTCTGAATCTCCAGAAAAGAAAAGCTCATTCTTAGTCTATATAGACTCTCTTATTCTACCCCTAAAATGATCGATGGTTTTGACAGTTGCTTGTTTGTGCATGTAAACTGAATACACTAGGATGATCCGCATTCTTGGATCTTCCTGGTGCTAGAATGTTCCTCCCTTCATATTGTAAACAGGCCCTTATTTAACAGGAATAACTTCCCTTTGCACTGACCTTGTAAGTGAAAATAACCTGACTCAGCCAGAAGTTTGAAAAACCAATTCTGGAGTGGGAAGATTTTCTTCTGTTCCTTCTCTGAGAAGAAAAGCTTTGCCTGTATTAAGGCAAATGGTGAGCTGATAGCTGATCCAAAAATAACATTAAGATGCAGTCCTCGAACGTGGCTAAAAGTTACAATAAAAACAACAGAATATTAGTCTCTGTGTAGCTAGATTGTAGACTATCAGGAAGCAGGGGTCAGTGATATGCAATCATATGGGAGTTGCAAAAAGGGCTGGACCTGAGAAACTATATATTTTTAAAGGGAAAATGGAACTTTAACCTGTTATTACAAAAAGTTCATTTGAAGATGTACATTGAAAATCCACAAAAATTACACTGATAAAGTAAAGATTTTACCTTCAATTTGTCTGGTGAAAAATTAAAATAGGTCAAATGGCTTGAGAGGAGGGCATATCTCCCACATGTTTTGTACCCTGCATATATAGCCGGTGGTTTTTTTGTTTTTGGCTCATAAATTGAGATTCAGCTGTGTGAAAGCAGTGAGCCAAGGTAAAACAAGAAAGCAGTGGGAAAGAGGGTGAGGGGCTTGATTGATCTTACATGTTTTCTTCTTGACCTTGCATGCAGATGTCTATCAAACACACACACAAAAAAAAAACACCAAAAAACTGCCAGCTACGCATGCAGGCTACTGTGTATTTTGTTACACCCTCCAATACAATCTAATTATAGGCCTGCCCGTCAAATGCAGACAGTAAAATTAAAGCCCTTCTACAATTACGTGGAGGCTTGTGTGGCTGAGCAGTTAACACTTTGAAATATGAAAAAAGTGGGCCAAATTAACTTTCTCAAGTTTTAATACTGTGACTGCAAAAATCATCAAAAAATTATTATGGTCAGGGCTCCCTGATGAAATTTGTTTGGTAGTCTTCTTCAAAACTCTACAGGTGCATTTTGTTTATGGGTAAATAAAAGCTAAGTAATAACTTCAGCACAGAATTGATCACTAGAACAGCGATATCCTTGTGACATAACTCTATATAAAGGTTGAAAGGTTGAAGAAAGGTTTAAGATTTGTTTGTAGTGGGAGGTGCACTTAGCTTATCCAGCTAGTTTACAGGCACTCTACTCAAATACTTAGGAACAAATAATGCCAATAGAAAAACCCCAACTGATAGGAGGCAACCAGTTGGTTATTTGAAAGCCTGGTTGAGGATTTGGACTCGGGACAACCACGAACAAATCCAGCAAGTGGCCAGCTCAGCAGGTTGGGTGAGACTCGCCGGATTACAAGTCTCACATGTAGACCACTCGGCCACACTGCCTGGGATAATTAGGGTGCTGCTGGGTATTCTTGGAGGGGGTGTGTCGCCCAGTTTTCCAATCCTGACCCTGTCTCAGACCAAAAAATGTCAATCCTTTTAAATTCGCATAACGCTTCACCAGGAATTGAGGCAACAATTACATTCATACACTCCCTCAAAACTTATACCCGATTCCATACCAAGATGGGCAAAGTCTATACCCATTTTCAGACCAAAATGGCATAAAAACAACACCCATTGGGGCGGCACATAACCTATGTGGCTTATATGATAGCGATTAAGAGTAAGGGTGCTGGCCACCTTAAGTCACAACCCTACCCTCTGTTACTGTTTGCTTAAAAGCAGTCAGCAGTCTTGTTATTTTCAAAATTATTCCTTTCTCACCTTGGATTCATAATTGCCATTGCTCTAGTGATAACACTGCCCCAGTCTCCGCCCTGAACATAATACGACTCATATCCAAGCCGATCCATCAGCTTGGTAAAAACACGAGCTGCAGAAATTGAATTAAAGCCTGGCTTATGAGGTGCTTCAGACAAACCATAGCCTGGTATAGACGGACAGATAATTGCAAAGGCATAATCATCTGTGGAAGCAGCAATCAATTTTGGAATGACTTTGTAGAACTCATAAAATGACCCAGGCCATCCATGCACCATCATTATAGCAATCAAACGCTGACCTTCTTTGAGTTGATGTGGTTTATAATGCACAAAGTGAACCTCTATTCCGCTTATCTTTGTCTTAAACTGAGGATAAGTGTTAATAAGTGTCTCCTGTTTGCGCCAATCAAACTTTGTTTTCCAGTATTCAACAAGTTGTTTCATATAGTCAGGGTTTATTCCATATTCCCAATCAATTCCCTCCAAGTTTTCAAAGAAGTACGTCTTAGAAAGTCTGTCCTTAAGATCAGACAGGATTTCATCCGATAAACTCATATAAATTCGGTTAATAGAAGTGTCTTCTTTCTGCTCGCTCTCTTGTCCTTTCCCCCACCATTCATGTTCATCGATTCGAGGCACCTCGCCAGTCGGGAACAGATATTTGCTTACTAGCATAGGAACAACAACGATCGAGATACCGACGATCACCACAAAAACCGCACAATAGGTCTTGAAGCCCATTTTTGAGTGTACTGGAAGCAAAATATGCTCAAAAAAACACTAGCTTCAGTGTAGCTTGTCTTGTAGCTTCTTCCCTTTCTTATTAGTAAAACTTCGCTCGCTCTTTTCTCTCGTGACAGTCACGCAATCAAGGTACGAAACCCAACTGGGGTACTGGTCCGGGTTATTTAATAGACGGCGGGGTTAAGGTTAGCCTCCCCGCAGACGTCCGTTGGGGTTCGGTTGTCACGCGGGAGAAATGAATGCGTGACAACCGAACCCCAACGGACGTCTGCGGGGAGGCTAGGTTAAGGTTAGTGCGATATAACAGCTTGCAAAGCAAATTCAGTTTAATTCCCTTTGGTCTGCAATTTGATGATTAGATGCTCTTAAAAGAAGAGGAAACATTAAGTCCGGGTTAGAATTTACGCTACTCAGCCTTCGAACAGCTGGGCTCAGGGGACGTGGCTGGATACACGCCTGTCTCAACCCGCCTGAGCAACGTTCCCCTGTCGTCAACAAGCGATGTCACTTTTTCTATTGAAAAAAACTTAGAAAATGGTAATGACCAACATTCATATTTTTCATTTCTAATACTGGCTCTTAGAAACGCCATACGTCAGTACCAGACCAGTTCCAATTAAGCGTAGGGCATTTGTGCATGCCGGGCACAGTGTCAGGAGTGGTTGTTCCCGAGACTAGGGTATGGTATATGTCAGCCACCAAGAGTAAAAATAATTCCGCCAACTACACAGGCTACTATTGCTGTTGAGTTTGTTTTCATTCTGAATTATTTTTTAAGATAAGAAGAGTTCTTCTTATCCTTGTGCCCGGAGTGCCCAGTCGCTATTCATGTGTTTTGGGGGTGAGAGAAGAGTGGGGGTTAGGTTGAGGCGCGCGCGGTTTTTATGGGAAGGGACGAAGTAAAAATAGCGACCCGTCCCTTCCCATGAGACCCCGCGCGCGCCTCAACCTAACCCCAACTCTTCTTTCACCCTCAAAACTGGGTACGAGTCTGCTACTATGGGGTTCTAGCGATGCAAAAATGACAAATGACCGGAGAGAGAGCACACTTGTAATTGAATCGACCGGGCCATACGTTATTACGACTTTAGGTTATTATTAAGCGAACAGTGTTAAAAACCTCATGGTATATCCAGCTACCAATAGACAATGAATGAAATGACATATCTGGTCACTGTCTGGTATGTGGGTAACAGGGTTGGGGACTGAACCTGATGGGCCTTCGTTTACCCTATAAATACTGATCAATACTGGGAAGAACTCTCTCTTGTTGGCTTTGTAGTACGAAAACACACTCGTCAGTGACATTTCTAGTCGGAACTGAAGTGCTTGCTCGTCTTGCTCTAGCTCTATTGCCGTGCTTCAACCGGATCATTTCCCTCTCCGTAAAAACTCAAAGAATAGCCGGTATTCACTACAAAATAAAAGGCTCTAGCCTGCGTAGCATGCCGGTTTTGGTCTGGCGCCAAACAAAAGGTGGGAGACGGCAGTGCAACCTCGTCCCCAGGGCTTTCCCCTTAAAAAATGGGTGGCCCCACCCATTTTTTAAGGGAAAAGCCCTGGGGACGAGTGAGGGCAGTGGCATTGCCAGGAAATTGGGAGGCAGGGTTAAAAAGGCTAAAAAGGTTCCGCATCAGTAAGCGTCACACCTCCAAGAAGAAGAATGTCGTAACTAGAGCTTGCACTTGCTACCAAATACAGTAGAACCCAGCCTTACGATCACCCGTCTATACGATCTCCTGGCTATTACTACCACATTCTTTCCACCCAAATCGGAAAAAAAAATACTTGTGAGTCATTTCAGTTATCTGTTTATTATTTTAAAGAGCCTGTCAACACGATCATCTCGGGAACTGTGTTGCTCCCGACGTGGAGGAGTAAAACATGAAAATTTGGTTTTATCAACTTTTGATAAAAGTCAATTTACCATAGTCGTAAAAGGATAGAAAAGGGCTACAGTAGCTCGCGCTCTACTAACTGAACGCCTGGAATAGGGTAGCTCTTGGTCAGTGTAGAGTGAAAATCAAGGGACTCTGAGGTTATTGTGGTTTTTATTCGAAGAGCGACGCCTTTGGTTGAAACTTGATTAACTTGACATTCATGCAGTTGAGTGAAGGGCGTTGATTGATTCCGTAGGGATTTAGAGTGCCGATTCGGTATATTTATGTGTTACTCAAACAGCAGTAGGAAGCTGAGTACAAAAACATTTCCAAAAATACCATTCTTTACCAAAAGATTTTAAGAAGAGTCATTCTTTTGATGACAACGTATGTGTTTCACATGCTGCAAGCATTATGAAACGAGCACATCAGGAAAATAATCTTTGTTAATCATCCATAACCACTTCTTTGATATATAGTTTTTTTGCTCTAAGACAATCAGCTGATCAATACTTATTGAGACTTAGATTCAGCTGTGTCTTCGGCTTTTTTGGCTGCAATACGCTGTTCAACCTTTTCTACAAACATGATCACATCGTTGGAAAACAGCTCTGGTTCTTGAAAAGCAGCAAAGTGTCCACCCCGAGGAAGCTCAGAATATTGTACAATATCAAGAAATATGTTGTAAACCCAGGGTTTAGGAGTGGGGAAAATCTCGTGGGGAAATTCTGCCAGCCCTGTAGGAACTGTTATCGGACACCTGTAGAATGACACAAAGCAAATAAAATTAATTAAAATCCTCACGGCACAAAGATCACGGCGTAGGATGCGAACGCAAACGTATTTCCAGACGTGGCTTCTTTCCACTCGAAAAGTAACTCACTATCTTATTATTTTGCTTGCAGTAATTATTTCGGGTGGAAAAAAGTAACAACCGGAAATACATCCGCGTTCACAGACTCGTCGAGGCGCCAAATGAGGGGTCAATTCAACCAAACTTTTAAAAGTATAATAATTTACAATCGTAGCCATTATTTTAGAATCTAACAACAATAGCTAGACTTGTAAATTACCGTTGTAAAAGTGTCATTAAATTGACCCCAGTACTTGTATCCAGGTTGGGCGACAAGTTGCTGACAAAGGTCGCAGCGACACGTCGCATTGGTATACGGTCACTTCGCCACCAACCAAATCACCGCCATATCGAAAAGACAATTACCTACCGACACTTGAATTTTACAATGAAATTTAAGGAGGTGAGGGCCAGGCGACAATATTACCTTACAGTCGAGTCTCGCTTTATGGACACCCACCCACTCTATACGGACACCTTGTTATTACAGACAGTTTTCTTTACCTCTAGGGAAGGCACTTACAAATTCTCTTCGACCCGCTTAAGATGGACATCCGTTAATGCGGATAACGGACACTTGTTTCTCGCCCAATAGGCAGATTCTCACTGAGAAATCCAACCTCGCTAATGAGGACATACCAACTGTGTGTAGACTGTAATATAGCCCTTCCTTTTTTGGCACGAGTCCCCTTATCGTTTATAATAAAGTACGTATAAAGTGGGGAATTTAAAATTTTGTCTGACCTTCCGTTCGCCGAAACAAACATCTCCTCCCAGCAGAGGTAAGGAGCGTTATCATTAAATCGGGATAAATGATAAATCTTTCGCATTATATTTGATGTCTGAAGGGTGTCCCGTCTGAATTTCTGGGTGGGGATGTGCCGTCCCTGGAACCCTTAACCTATACCAGAGCTAGTTCATGAATTTTGCTACCCTATACTAGAGTAAACTCCCAAATTGATGGCTGTTTCACTGTTTAAAAATCTTCAACCAACTTTTTTCTGAAAAATAAAATTCTATTAAATACCCTATCCTTAAACTGCTTGAAAACCATACCCTTCACAGCGGCACATATTATAGCCCATTTACTCGTCCAAATGGCGTCACTGTTTAACACTTTTTTCCAATTAAAAACTATTGCATTATCCTTCGTATTTATTTATTGAAAATGTCCTGGGCAAAACGTAGAAATTGATTTCTGAGCCCCTAAATTTGAAACATTTTCTTGGAGAGTATACCCTCAGATCCCCATCGTTTGCAGTACCTTCCGAGGTCTAACCTTTCTATCCGCGCGTGCACCTTCAAGACATCACGCTACGCCCCTGGATCACAAGATTGACTGGCCTTTAAAGGCACTAACCTTGCTGAAACATGTCGATAAGGACTGTGCATTTGTTCATAATAAAACCTCATTGACGACGCTATTGAGTGCGTTGCCCAATAGATCATTACATTGGTTAGCAAGTCATCTTTGGAAAAGCGAGATTCTAAACAAGTTGCAGTATCTGTCATTTCACATCCACTCCACATTGCAAACTTCTCCAGGATGTATGCCGCCAGACCAGCTGGTGAATCATTGGTTGCTAAGGCAACAGAGTGAGGACGAGTGGCTGAAAACAAATCACATTTAGCTACACCATATATGGCAACACAACTTGCTCTTTAAAAAGAATGTCATACAATGAGGTTATAATAGGCTAATAGATAATTCATTTGAAATCTTACTTTTACATGCCAATAATCTTTGCTTTAGCTAAAACTACAAGGATTATTTTCGTGTTTATTCTGTCCTTAAATGAAAATCTGCAGTTTTAATAGTTCCAGAAAAGATCTGGCATACTTCCCCCACGGATGAATTAACTTTTCTAAGTACTCCCACCCATACGCCAACTCGTAGGGATATGGCACCAATTCCCTGGTCTTCCGTACAGGTCATCAAATTTTCCGGTTAAATCGACTTCTGGCTTCAGAGCTTGGCCGTGATGTAGGTTTTAAGGAAGTCCATATTTTCCCAAAATTCAACAATTTCCTGAGGTACGAGGCAGTACGGAACACTTTTGCACATATTTTATCACTGAAAAAGATTATCATGTCAATTTACAATAAATGTAAGTAAATTTTGATCTTCTTTCTTTATTACTTCCAGACCTCCTGTCACCGTTGGAATAAATTGATCAATTTTAATAATTAAAATTGATCAATAATAATAATTATTAAAAACTATTATTATCATTATTATTAGTCTGATTACTATAAACGTTATTATAATTTCTAAGTTATGTATTCATTTATTTTTTCATAGAATAGAATAGAAAACTTTATTAATGTGTCAGAGCCGTATAGGTTGGGAACAACGTACGTACCCCGTACTAATTTGGGGACACAATTTGTAATTAAATAATTGGAATTACCTATAAAATATAAAAGTAAAAAATATTTAACTAACTACGCATAATATCATTTATACTCTGATGACAATCTAAAATAACTGAGAGAGAATTGTAAAATTAAATAGTTATGATGTGCAGAGAGAACAGTTCTTACATCCATCATCTAGGTGCATCAATCCAGCCTTTTTACAAAACAATTAAACTACTGGGAAACCCACTCAATTTGGTTATGAGTTTTCAAGAAATTGTTAAAAAGTGGCCATTCACAAGATATCCAGCATAATTTTGGTTTTAAACAGCAGTGGTTACCCTGTACACTAACCTTGCAAATGAAAATATCCCGATTCAGCCAGCAGTTTAGAAAAGAATTTCTGGATTGGGAAGATTTTCTTTTGTTCTTTCTCTGAAAAGAAAAGTTTTGCCTGTAAATAGGCAAATGGAGAGAGGGTGATTGATCCAGTAATCATATTGAGGTGCAGTCCTCGAATGTGACTGTGGAAGAAAATAAAAAGATTTCAGATGAAATTTAGAATGCAGTGTCTTTCAAAAAAGCAAGGGAATAGTCCAGTTTCGAATTAAAAATTACCGTTGAAAACAAACACTAACGACACATTCATATAGGGTTAGCCTCGACGTAAAGTAAAATAATCAGAAATTCTGGCAAGTGTTTGAAATTTGAATATACACAATAGACAGAGTAATAAAGACGTCTTTTTTCTCGTTGGAATTTGTGAATATATTACTTCAGATCGAGGCTAAGGCTGTAAAAAATGCGTCTTCACTTCTTTAATTCAGCAGTAATAGCGAACTCGAAAATGGACTATTGACAAACTTAAAAGACATTTAATTTTCCAGCAAGCATCACCATCCACTTCAGGTTATTGGAGTCCCCACTGCAGATCCCCACTTGGCGCAAGCAGTACCCTGCCCTTAACCTCTCTCTGATTTTTGCTAATGTGCAATCTTAAATAATAAGCCTCTATATAGCCAGCTGTCAGTCACTTTGAAAATCTTTCACTGGTTGCTGGCCATTGAGACACTTCATAAAACACTAGCTAGAATGCCTCTTCTGCAGGTTATCTTTCCATTCCCCTCAGCTTTCCCTGCCTCTAATTATTCTCATTCTTTTTTATCCCCTGAAAGGGGTGTGGGTTATTGCTTAAAATAAGAAAGTGGCCTTGTTAAGCCTTGGTGGTTCTCATATGTCGCCTATGTACATATTGTCAAAAAGACATTCACAGGGTTGTCAAAAACATCCACATAGTGGTTCTTTACCGTCGCAGGAGAATAAGGGGGAAGGTAGCGGAAAACCTCTCGGATTATGTGTTTCCGGCAAACAACAAACACCAGTAGAGGAAGACATATCACTATTGATATATGTAAACAGTTCAATCCAGGTTAGTGACTAAGCAGCTGTCAAACATGATAGCATCGATACTGCATATGAATTACTAAGTGAAACTTTGGTGGAAGCATGCAAAGAAGCGAGAGGCAGCAAAGTTAAATGTGAACCACAAAACAAATGGTTCGATCAGGAATGCGAAACAGAAAAAGAAAACTTGCAATCCCTTGGGGAGAATATTTCTCATAACATTAATAATTCAAAACAGAGACAACTAAAGCGAGATAAAAAGAAGAGGTTCAAACAAACTTGTGGACGGAAGAAACGGGAGTCTATCAGCAAAGGCATGTCTAATATCAATATATGCAGAACTCCAAAGAGACCTGGTGACAAATAGGAAAAATCTTTAACTTAGGAAAAAGAAAAAAACCTAGAGCTGAAGCAGTGAGAACGTAACAGTTTTATAAATACTTAAAGCAGAATGTGGCCCCTCTCAGTAATATACTGGATCCGGAGACGAATGTGTCTTTCCTGGGTAGGGGAACACATATCACTAGGGATATGTGTTTCCTAGGTTGGGTAAATCACTATCGCTAGGGATATGTGTTTCTCACGTAGAGGAACACATATCACTTAGGATATATGTTTCCCAGGAGGAAGAACACATATCACAAGGGATATGTGTTTTCCAGGTAGGGGAACACATCACTAGAGAGGTATGTCTCCAAGGTAGGGAAGCACATATCACTATGGATATATCTCTTTCCCAGGAAGAGGATTATAAATCACTAAGGATATGTGTTTCCCAGGCAGGGTAACACATATCACTAGGGATATGTGTTTCAGAGGTAGAGGAACACGTATCACTAGGGATACGTGTTTCCCAGGAGGAAAAACACATATCACTGGGGATACGTGTTTTCCAGGCAGGGGACATACACTAGGATACGTTTTTCCCAGGTGGAAGACACATATCACTAGGGATATATGTGTTTCCCAGGAAGAGGATTATAAATCACTAGGGATATGTGTTTCCAAGGTGGGGAAACACATACCACTAGAGATATCTTTTTAACAGGTCAGGAGAACACATATCACTAGGGATATGTGTTTCCCAGGTGGGGGAACACATATCAATAGGGACACGTGTTTACAAGGTAGGGAAAACACATAGCACTAGGGATATGTGTTTCCCTGGTTGGGGAACACATAGCACTAGGGATATGCATTTCCAAGGTGGAGGAAACACATATCACTAGGGATATGTGTTTCCCAGGTGGGGGAACACATATCACTAGGAATATGTGTTTCCCACGTGGGGGAACACATATCACTAGTGATATGTGTTTCCCAGGTAGGGAAACACATATCACTAGGGATATGTGTTTCCCAGGTGGGGGAACACATATCACTAGTGAAATGTGTCTCCCTGGTTCGGGAACACATAGCACTAGGGATATCTGTTTCCCAGGTGGGGGAACACATATCACTAGGAATATGTGTTTCCCAGGTGGGGGAACACATATCACTAGGAACACATATCACTAGTGATATGTGTTTCCCTGGTTGGGGAACACATATCACTAGGGATATGTGTTTCCCAGGTGGGGGAACACATATCACTAGTGAAATGTGTTTCCCTAGTTGGGGAACACATATCACTAGGGATATGTGTTTCCCAGGTGGGGGAACACATATCACTAGTGAAATGTGTTTCCCTGGTTGGGGAACATATCACTAGGGATATGTGTTTTCCAGGTAGAGGAAGACATCACTAATCACTAGGAATATGTGTTTCCCAGGTGGGGGAACACATATTACTAGTGAAATGTGTTTCCCTGGTTGGGGAACACATATCACAAGGGAAATTTGTTTCCCTGGTTCGGGAACACATAGCACTAGGGATATGTGTTTCCCAGGTGGGGGAACACATATCACTAGGGATATGTGTTTCCCAGGTGGGGGAACACATATCATTAGGGATATGTGTTTCCCAGGTAGGGGAACACAGATCACTAGGGATATGTGTTTCCCAGGTGGGGGAACAGATATCACTAGGGATATGTGTTTCCCAGGTAGGGGAACAGATATCACTAGGGATATGTGTTTCCCAGGTGGGGGAACACATATCACTAGTGATATGTGTTTCGCTGGTTGGGGAACACATATCACTAGGGATGTGTGTTTCCCAGGTGGAGGAACACATAGCACTAGAGATATGTGTCTCCCTGGTTGGGGAACACATAGCACTAGGGATAAGTGTTTCCCAGGTGGGGGAAGACATATCACTAGGGATATGTGTTTCCCGGGTGGGGGAACACATATCACTAGTGATATGTGTTTCCCTGGTTGGGGAACACATAGCACTAGGGATATGTGTTTTCCAGGTGGGGGAACACATCACTAATCACTAGGGATATGTGTTTCCCAGGTGGGGGAACACATATCACTAGTGATATGTGTTTCCTTGGTTGGGGAACACATATCACTGGGGATATGTGTTTCCCTTGTTGGGGAACACATAGCACTAGGGATATGTTTCCAAGGTGGGGGAACACATATCACTAGGGATATTTGTTTTCCAGGTAGGGGAACACATATCACTAGGGACATGTGTTTCCCAGGTTACAGGCGGCAAAAGCCTTAAAGTAGCCGGTGATAGTGCCGGTTGCCAGCGCATTTTGACTACCCTGCATATAACAAAGACCTTGGGACTACCCATTTCAATATGAGAACAGAAGTCACCAGCAACAGAACCCATACCAGTCATTTATGCCTGCACCCCTCTGAAGTTGACCCTAGTTCAACTTTACAAGCAAGCCTGCAGTATTAAAAGATGTGTGATATTTCTTATTACAGCAGCATATATTCTCATAATTTTATGTCAAAACAGATTATCTCGCAGTACCATCAAAAGCCATGTAACAAGTAGATATAAGAAGCAGGATTTATGGTTAAAAGCATCTACACTCACCTTGGATTCATAATTGCCATTGCCTTAGTAATTGCACTGCCCCAGTCTCCACCCTGAACATAATACGACTCATATCCAAGCCGATCCATCAGCTTGGTAAAAACACGCCCAGCAGCAAATGTATCAAAGCCTGGCTTATGAGGTGCTTCAGACAAACCATAGCCTGGTATAGAGGGGCAGACAATTGCAAAGGCATAATCATCTGTGGAAGCAGCAATCAATTTTGGAATGACTTTGTAGAACTCATAAAATGACCCAGGCCATCCATGCACCATCATTATAGCAATCAAACGCTGACCTTCTTTTAGTTGATCTGGTTTATAATGCACAAAGTGAACCTCTATTCCGCTTATCTTTGTCTTAAACTGAGGATAAGTGTTAATAAGTGTCTCCTGTTTGCGCCAATCAAACTTTGTTTTCCAGTACTCAACAAGTTGTTTCATATAGTCAGGGTTTATTCCATATTCCCAATCGATTCCCTCCAAGTTTTCAAAGAAGTAAGTCTTAGAAAGTCTGTCCTTAAGATCAGACAGGATTTCATCCGATAAACTCATATAAATTCGGTTAATGGAAGTGTCTTCTTTCTGCTCGTGGCTCTCTTGTCCTTTCCCCCACCATTCATGTTCATCGATTCGAGGCCCCTCACCGATTTGGAACAGATATTTGCTTAGTAGCATAGGAACAACTACGATCGAGACGCTGACAATGACCACAAAAACCGCACAGAGGGTCTTGCATCCCATTTTTGGATCTACAATACAGTTTGCAACCCACAAGCAAGCGGCAGAATCTGGCGTCTGCAAACAACTCGCCCCAGGTCATCTATCACTTCTGAACAGTCACGCAATCTGTATACTAGAGTATTTACGAGTCACCATCTGACCACCGCAAGACACATTTCAAAAGTAGGTTGAACAATATACTGTTGCCAAATTATTCGAAGAATAACTTATATACAGCCGACTCCGATCCTTCCCCTGCTGAGGGAGACACCACACAGGCCAATGAAAAAATGCGGCTCTTGGTGATCATAAATGTTTTTTGCAGATGGGTTAATCCCGACTGCTATAACGATGTATCGTAATTCAGCTGTTAATTGACATTCATTTTTCAAAGTAAAAATGTTTTAATTTATTTACTGATGCAATCAAAACCCCCCAAAATCCCTTGGATTTCAAACAAAACCCCCAAAATCCCTAGACCAAGATTTAGCCAAAAAATCCCATGCCGAGGCCCTCCCTGAGCCTGAAAAAAAGTCGAAGGTGACTAACAACAAAAACGAAATATATACATGCATCTCTCATAACACAGAATGGAAATAAAAGGTAGTTATCGCCTCCTGGCGTTCCCCTAACCGCTTTTATGATTTTCTTCGATTTAGCCTCGGCCCACGCCCTCCTCAAACAGGCATGCAGTCGGCGGGACACAGCAAGGTAATCCTGGCACGACTCCGGGCATCAACTAATCAGCATTTTGGCCTTTGGCCAAGGGCTTTACAATACTGTTAAAAGAAAGCTTATTCAAATCAGTCCCGCGAAAAACGATCCGGGCGTTACATGTTTTGTAAGGAATTAAAAAAACTAGCTATAGATAGGCGGAGGAGGAGCTGGCATTCTGTGGGATATATGGGCTGTAGCTCCCGCTTACTAATTTGTGGGGGCTCAGCCCCCCATGTTCTAGAGCCGAAAATCGCCAGCCCAGCTTTCAAAAGGCCCATGAATTGTTGCTGGAATTAATTTGACATCACCTGGTAGCATCCGCGACTACAACGGTACTACAAGACTTACCGTTTCTGCCCTTTTCCCCAGGGAAGTGTGCCTGAAGAGGTTTGCTTGTGCAACGAACCGCGCAACTTGAATGACGTTTTGTTAAATTCAAAATGTTGTTCGTGCGTGTTAAAAAGTTGCAAGACTGACATGCTGTGGTTTGTGTTAAGTTTGAAGTGCAAGAGTTCATGACACGTGCACGAAGTCTAAACACTACAGGGGCACCCAACGAGGATATAGTTCAAAACCACTTAACATAGCATTGTTGAACGTATTTTAGTATTCAAACGGTAGATATAGGCATATTTTTATCCCCTAAAAACTTTTCATCTGTTCGGATTTCCTAGCTGAAAGTCTAGTGATCCGAAAATTATAGGGATAAAAAGTTACCTTCTCGAAAATTTCAGCCAGGAAAAGGCTCCCGAAAATTCTAGGTGGCCTTTTTTAGGGTCAAAATACGTTAAAAATGGGTAATTATACCATTTTGTATATGTTCGAAAATCCTAGGAGAGGCAGGCAAGCAAGAAATTTTACAACAAATGCTCCGAAAATTCTAGATCTCAAATCGTCTTGCGAACAGATATTTTCCCGAAAATTGCCGTTGGGTGCTCCTGACACTATGCCTGCCGAATCATTTGACTTGTATTGAAGCCTTATGCTATAAAAAGCCGTACTTGTCTTCTATACAGTTTTAACAACTGAGACGTGATGTAACTCTGTGGAAAAGAAAAGATATCAAGTACCCACTTTTCCCACTGTGAAAAATACCCCTAGGAATACATGAGAGGATTCACGCACCCGTCTTAAGCACCTATCCGGTTGTGCTTCACTGCGCATGCCTTTTGCGGTTCTTTCGACAACTGAGCGAGATGTGTCCGAAGCGTAAGCTGAGCTCATGTTTGCATAAAGACGTCTGATCGAAAACATCAATTTATCTATAGTTTTAACAGAAATAATAGCTTGCTTCGAATCCTATAGAAAATTAATTGCCCGTCGTCAGAAACATTCGCCAGTGACTAGCTAGTGTCCCCTGGCAGCCGTTTTGTGGAGTCACGCAACGCTCCCCGTTGCGTGACATCCATAAAACGGCTGCGAACAGACTAGTGATTTGCAGCTGTAACTTGAATCAATCATTATTTTCTATCCGCAAAAAAAGTGTAAAGGTAAGAGTCTTACGTAACAGGGGGAGGGTAGGGGAAAAACGAGTAGGGTGCCGGAAACCCCTTTTTACTTCCAGTTCGTGCAAAACGCGTCAGAGTTATGCAACAGCCCTTGACAGAACAGAAAGTTCAAGTTTCTTAGCTAGTCTGATGCCCACTTACCTTGCGAGCAGCGGTTTCTCCCGTCCGGCCTGGAGAAACCACTGCTCGCAGGGTGATTCCCACTGTGCCTTACAAATAAAAAAAATGTGTGAGAGAGAGAGAGAAAAGGCAATATAATATGGCTAAAAGGGCTGGGTCCCCAACAGCTTAACGTCAAAAGTAAATATTTATATTTTAGAATGAACTTGAAAGAAGTATTTTAAAACTTGTCAAAATTAAATTTCTTGTCGTGATTGGATCTATTAAAACGTGACGTGGTCTACACTGCGGGTCTTGCGGGCTGTGATTTGTACTTTACTACGTGACTCGTGACTTGGAATTAAGCTTATTCCTCGGGGGGCAGGGGAAACTCCCTTTAGTCTTGAATGGGGTGTCGTTTTGGACCGGTAGCCTTTAAAAGAGTACCGGACGGTTGGCTCTTCGAGGTCTACATGTCTGGTAAATTTTTTTTTTTTCCGTGAAATCTAATTTCAGGGCTTAGTTTAAAAATAACTTTATTATCCCGAATGTGAAATAAAATGAATTAGGGTCAGAAAATAAGTCCCCTGGCCAACTTAAACAGGGTAGAGAAAAAAATAGCGAAATAAACAATGTTAATTATGTCGAGGTTGTAGGCTTCGGCGGCACACCCCTACCCAAGCTTCCCTTGAGTGCCCCCCCAGACTTAAATAAACCTTAAATCGCCCGTTCAAATATATGTCTTATTTTTTATCAACTGCTGAACGATTCCTTGCATCGAACTTAGGGTAAAAATTATTGTTATTCCATCTACTGCTTTCGTGTTCCATGTCTTTCCGACCTTGGCTAGTATGTTCGGACCCAACGTATCTACGTGACCATTGGTCATGGCTCTTAACGTGACCAGCCGTGTGGAAAAGCCCTGCTTGTACCAATCAATCCGATAAGCAAAGGTCTTCATCGGGTGCCTATTGTACAAAAAACTGTACATATATATTGTATCTAACACGATGCTTTACCTGGAACAATGTATGTTGTTGTTACATAGCTACTGGGCAGGATGACTCAGGATGATCAGGTTAGTCCCGCTGTCCCACTCCAGTGATCACATGTTGTTACTAAAAAACCGGGGGGATTTCCAAGGGAATCTTACCGCACAGTCTTGCGTAAAAATACATTAAGATTAGTATATCTTATTGCAGTTTGACTTTCTATTTTACCCATAGTATAATTTCAGGACAATCTCTCCCTATCCATTGTATCTGTCATTCATTTGTTGGAAAATTTCAATGAACAGAACAAATGACGTGACCGGGAATTGGTCTCGTCTCCTCCCCCCCTGACCTTTTCACGTGAACAATAACACAAAACACCACTGAATTCATCAGCAACAGTAGTCGTGCACCGCCGCATGTTAGCAGAGTGTTTTGAACGGGAAAGCGATTTGTTTTCAGTTTTATTGGTAAATGCGTTCAGCTAAGTTCGTCGCAGTTTGACTGTGACTGCTTGAAGAACTAAGCAAAGATTTTTTGCCTCCAAATTTGCCCAAAGCTGGAAATCGATGTTCATTTCTCGATTGGTCAAACGACCACGTAGTGTGTTGTACGCGATTTTCTTTGAAGAAAAATGGAGGCGAAAGCAGTAAAAGCAGACCACGTTATGAAGACATTTTTGGCTGGAGGTTCGTAGTAATTTAATTGTTCTTTTTGTCGCATTTTCTGCCCAATAAATCGGTTGTTTTAAGATACTTGCCCGAGGGCTATATGAAGCTTATGTCGTGCAAAGTGGAGTGTATAAAAACTTCATTAGCTAGATTTTACGTGACTCGATCGGGTTGTAAACAAGTTTTATACGGCTATTTTTCCACCAAACCCGAGGCTTATATCAGGATAATTAAAACTGCCAACGAAGTGGTCGAAAGTTCTGTTTTCTTCAGGGGTTTTCTTTTCCGTTAATGAATCCTTGTTTCTTTCCACGTTTTCATTTTTCTTCGCAGCTCTGTCGAAGAAGGTGGCGTGTTACTAAACTTGCACAACTGATAAGCTTATGTTTTGTTACTAAACGGCTATAATTTCCGCAGGACTTTCAACATGTTGTGCAAAGACATCAACAGCTCCCCTGGAAAGACTGAAAATACTCTTTCAAGCACAGAATATTCACTACAAAGACATGGGTAAGGCATGCAGCATTCAACATAGTGAAAATATCTGTAAGAACCTGTTGTTGCTTGAACGTTTATTGCTATTTAAGCGCCCCTAAATGAAAGCATGACTTTTTTCGACACCTTTTTAATATTTTGGCTGTTCTTGTAGGCGTACTCCGCGCGTTACGAACCATTTATCATTTGGAGGGTCTTTTGGGGTACTACAGAGGTAAGACCTTTCGTTCTCTTTTGTTTTGTTTTGGTGAATTATTAATAGACAACAAAGCCAGCTTTTTGGGGCAGGCTTTGTTTATCAGAGAAGTAAATTTAATATCAAAAAATAAATATATGTACGCATGTTTGAAATTTTTGTCCATATATTGATTTTATTTTTGAGGTAAATATAGTCTGATTCAAGGTATTGTTTTTCTGTACACATGTGTTTTATACATAGTTTCCAACCTTTTCAGGAAATGGTGCTCTCATGTTGAGAGTCTTTCCCTATGGTGCTTTACAGTTTGTTTCCTACGAACAGTACAAAAAGGTAACTAGTTGGCGTATATAATTTTGTCCTCTGTGAAACAATATTGTTTTTTAATGGGGATGAGACACGTCACAAAAGTTTGATGGGAGGTTAGGTGGTGTGTCGCTTTGGTCTTTAAACTGTTACTTTGACTAAGAAAATGTCCATTAATTCATTTCACCACCCAGTTTGTTTACCTTTTCACATGATCTTACCGGTAATTCATTCCATTTTTGGCATACAGAGTAAGTATTAAAACTGACGCTGTAGAAGCAAATGGAAAAGAAAATTAATTCTTGTTCCCCACAAAAGACTGCACTTTGCCAAACATCACACCCTGTGCAGAGCTTCTGCCCAAAAAGACACCCTGTTCATCACTACATACTAAATAGCAAAATTGTATTTTCTCATAAGTAGGTTGAGTATGATCGTGTGGGTGAATGCGTAGTCCTGAATAGGGCTGTTGTTGACAGCAGTGGCGGAGGACTACATTCACCTGGATGATCATACTCGGCCTACTTATGAAACGACTCCTGGGTTCAAACCTTTTCACAGCTGTATACTCTGTTAAGAATTACGCCACTGAAAACAATTTGGCAGTACATAGCCTATTGGGCAAAACAGGGAAGCCCCTCCCCCTCCCCTCCCAGGCAAGAGGTTAACTCCTGCCCTGCCCTAACTTAAAGGGTTTGGTATTATGTTGTTGCTGTTGTTGTTGTTGTTTTTTCTTTTTTTGTTTTGAGTTATACTGCTTATTCAGATATTCTTGTGGGTCTGAGACACAGTGTTCTTCTTTTGACTAAAGTACGGTTCTCCTTACACACTTTGTAGGTCTTTACTCCCTTGTGTGATAACTGTGCTGCAAGTAAGCTTATCTCTGGTTCCCTGGCAGGTGAGCTTTCAAAAATATCAACTTGAAAAAGAAAGTAATGAAAACTCAGCATTTAAGTACAGTGGAACCCCGCCTTAAGGCCACCTTGTTAATACGGCCACCTCATTGTTATGGCCACTTTTTTTGGCTGCCTGGCAAAAACAGCAATACATTTTCTTGTAAAATAAACCCTCATTAATATGGCCAATTTTCTTTTTTGGTAGTGGTGGCCGTATTAACAGGGTTCCACTGTAGTCATAATTGACCAGTGAATTTGATAATACTTTAATGAGTTTCCAAGTGCATTGTATGTATATTGGTGAAAAAAAAAACACAAACAACTCCTAACCTATCACCTTGGTATCAATGCATTTATTTTCTCATTTGCGAGCTGGTTAAAGAAATTAATGTTCAGTTATGCATCGGTATACTGCGCCACAGACAGCACTAAATTTGTTTTAAGTCCATCTGCGAAACAGTGCCAAAATCCTTGTGTGTACCAGAATTTGAGTGTGTGCTATAATAATATTGGCCTGTTAAAAGTCCCATTGTTGATTTGCTAATCAGGTTGAAGGGAAAAGGTTGTCAACTGTGATGCAGTCTAGCATTATTGCAGCCTTCAAAGACAGTGTCTCACCCCTTCTCTGGATTTTCTGTGCTGACACATCCAGTTAGGAAAAGCATTATGATTCATACCATTGTGAAGGTTCAAAGCAATAACATGACACTCTTTTGCTTGTTATTAGGAATGACAGCCTGTACATTCACATATCCCCTGGATGTTGTGCGCTCACGCCTGGCATTCCAAGTAGCAGATGAACAAATCTACTGTGGTGTATGTCATGCAATCCGTCAGATCTTTACCACAGAGGGTGGTTTTAGGGCTCTTTACAGAGGCTTCACTGCAACAGCAGTTGCAATGATTCCTGCTGTAGGTGAGTTAACTGCTTGCAAACATGTGGTAAACAACCTTAAATGACCTTTCATAAGATGACAAATTTTCCTTGGTTTCACTGGTAAGTGCAAGACAGCTTGATAGAAGAATCTGACAGTTTATTGTTGCTTCCTTGGGACTTTTTCACCTACTTCTTTAATTTTTAAGCTTCTTATTGTGATTAAATTTTGCAGTCAGACCTTAAAAACACCAACTGTTAAGTTCTTTGCATCTTTGTTACTTTGATGTCATTAGGTTTTGGATTCTTTGCTTATGAAACCTTCAAAGAACTTATCATTAAGACAGACAGTGCATTGACAAAAATCAGCACCGAAACAGGTGAAACAGTTCTTACACCCGTCGGTGGGTTGCTGTGTGGTGCTCTGGCAGGAGCATGTTCTCAGACTGTGGCGTAAGTATTAAAATTTATTTCATATGACAATATGCTTAAGTATTAATCTTCTGCACGATATTAAAGACGTTAAGCAATGGCAACTGTACCGAAAACATCAAATATAAGTTTGCCTTCTTTCATACCTCAAAAAGAATTTATTATTGTAATTATTCCAACTTACACTATTTTTAAACTTAGGCAAATTTTCCTGGATTTGAATTCTAAAGACTGTAACCAGATTTATATAATAGAGAAAAGATTGTGACCATGTGTACTTGAGAAAACTTTCTTATTATAGTTGTTATGTGCAGTGACCCGGTTTTAACAAAATGTACCAAAAAGTGTTATATGCACTCACAGACTTGACTAAGTTTTTTTTTTTACTTTTTTTTTTGCCATGGCCCTTATAATTTGCTGGCCAAAGCTGCCAATAAACCTACAGGATTGCATGTCCCGATATGATCTATAATTTTAATGACATTCATTTCAGTTATCCATTAGATGTGGTCAGACGGCGTATGCAGCTTGCTGGGGCCGTAACTGATGGCTATAAGTACAGGTACTGTCTACTTGCATTTTTTCAGTTTGTTCATTCAGTGCTGTCACTAAAGGCCGGCGCAAGAGGATTTCCTCCAGCTTGTATGTGCATGAACCCTGGCTACTTTCATAGGAAAAAATAGGAAAATAGGCCCAGAAAACTTCCTAGCCATTCAGTTCCTTGCCTACCAGTTGCATATCTTTGGCAACTTGAAATCTTAGGGAAAGTCCTGTTCAATTGTATTAGGTGACAAGTTATTTAACTGTTCTGCTGATAGTCAACTATGCCCTCTATGGTCTAAGACCACATTTTGTTCTCAGATAAAAAAGTCTGAATTAAGCAGCCATTTTATACACTCCTCTCTTGTATGTTTTGCAATACATGAACGGTTACAAACTGGAGGTAACAGGCAAATGAATGAAGGGGTTGGATGCAAAAGAAACTGTGGTAGCCCAAAGTTTGCAGCCTTTTGCTCTGAGAAAAGGCTAAAATAGTGCTTCATACATCAGTTTTCAATTGTTTTTATGGCAACATATAAACTTGATCCACTCAGCTGAAAACGAAATTTTTGAGATAACAAGAGTTATTATCCCATTGAAATAAGCATCATTCTGATGTTAGAAACCTGATTATTCTCGTTCTAATCTTCCAGTGGTTGTATCAACACCTTTGTCACAGTGTACATGGAGGACGGGATCAGGAAAGGACTGTACCGTGGCTTGTCAATTAATTACATGAGAGTTGTGCCTCAAGTTGCAGTAATGTTCAGTGTTTATGAACTCACAAAACAGTTTCTGGAGAAAGGCCCAACCAGTGGAGAGCGCGAGTGATCTCAGCAGAAGACTCATGTGATATAAAGAATAAAGCTGAGAGGTCACTGACTTCCAACAACAAAAACAACAAGAAAAGTAACCAAACAGGCTGTTGTTCCACCCTGTGGAAAGAAAAAAAAAGTTGCTTGAGAGGAAAAAACAACAACAACAACAACAACAAGGACCCAGAACTAAATCTTCTACCAATAGTCCCTGTTGATTCAATGTGTGAATGTGTGGAATGGCCAGTCCATCAGAGAAAAATTTTCTTGTTAATAAGAAAGTTCTATTTTAAAAAATTGACCAGAGTTTGCAGTACAAATTATTGATACAGAGCTGCCATATTTCTAAGTACTTGCCCAGTATGATAATAGATTTATGGCCTTTAAAAAGGGGGGCCATTACATTTTATTTGAACTGGCACTTTACTGAGGGGAGAATGACAATCAAAGAGTTAAATGGACAAACCGTCTATTCAGCAGTTGTAATGTGGGTCCCAGTGAGGTAAATTGACTAGTTTTTATTGGGGCTCTAATTTGGTCAGCAATAAGTTTTATAAGTATTATAATAATATTGTCAGTTTAATTCTACTGCTTTAGAATTAAAACAATTAAGCTTAACTGTTTTAACCATAACAAAGGAATCATTTATTTGAGAGGCTACTGATGAGGGGTTCCTGAGCAGTTAAACAGCAGTATTTTTTGTCCGCTCCCTATGGTAATCCAAAACTCACCATGACAAAAATAAACTCCTGCTTGAACACTGTATCAGTTATATGTAATCCTGATGTGACTGCAGGAAAGGGAGTTATCTGTGTTAATTTTCACCAAAACTTGAAACATCCTGCTTCTTAAAAAGAAGTAAGGCATTGGTTTTAAAAGAGAGGGGGTTATTTTGTTGGATATATTTGGTAAAGTTTTTTGGGGGGAAAGGGCAGTATTGTTAAGATGGCATAGTTAACTAGCTGTTTACCAGTGCTGACAGGTGATGTTATGCTTGTAGAAAAACATAACTTAAAAAACATAGAAATTTGTTTGAGAAATGGCTTTTCATGGTCGACACAACACATTTGTCTAACAAAAGACAAAAGTAAGTTATACTTTGTCAAGTTTGTGCATTGCCTTCTTGTGCTATTTGACAGTTATTGTCCATTTACTTCAAATGTTCTAAAGTATATTATTTGATGAAAAACAATGATAATATTTTAATGAAAAGTAAGAGGAAATTTTTATTTTATGGTGCAACAAAGAAATAATAAATTATTGTAACGTGCTAGTGATTTGTTGTTAAGGCCCGGTTCAGACGTCGAACTTTTCATGAGCGGAACATAATACACTGAATTAAGCACATGAAAAGTTCGGCGTCTGAGCCGGGCCTAAGTCTCAGGTTCATTATGTAACTATTAAAAATAAAGGCTAACTGGAAAAAATATTTTGTGCCTTCAGTGGAGTTTTTTAGAACCTGACACAATAGTGAGTTTACATAATTCGCGCAACAGGACGGCAAAACGGTTGTGGGTGACTAACGTGACGGCGCTATTACTTGCATTTTCTGTCGTGATCTTCACTAAATGTTTTTGGGCTTTTACAAAAAGATCGGTTTGAAGGAAGACACGCTTGTCACACAAGGTTTGCCGTCTTCTTCCCTCTCCTGTCCTGTGGTTCACTAATAGTTAGCTTAAGCAACGACGAAGGCGACAGCAACGAGGACGGCAAAAAAGCAATGGGGTTAGATTGGTAAAACAACCATAGCGCCATAGCGCCCATCAGCACAGCGAATGGCGCACTTTTCGCGGGAGTTTCGTGCGCGTGCTGCTCCGGGAAAATTTTTGAGATTGAAGTGATTGCTCAATAAGGTTTTAAGAAGCTGAGATGCAATCTAGTGCATTTTGGGCGCTTAAATTTAGCAAAATCCTGAATTCCGTATTGAACATGTCAGTGCTGAAATATTTATTAACAATAAACCACTAAAGGGGGGCCCGGGTCCCATGGGTCCACCCCTAAATCCACCCTTGCAGCATAATTTTATTTCCATAGTTACAAGATTACAAGCCAGTGTATTTATCAGGAATCGAAGGTGAATGAAACAGCGATTCTAATGACATCCCAGCTGTGGAGGATAAGAGACCCTCCCCTCCTCTTCCAAAGTTTCTTTGAGGGTCCTTTTTACGCAAATTTTAAAACATAAGACACTTTGCTGACATGGAACAATTACTGAAATGTCACACCTCAGATTATTAGGAAAACCTACCTTTTCCCCAGTTTGCCAGCTCATCGACCATTCTCTACGGTGTGTGTGTGTGTTTGCGGGGTGGGGGCGGGGGTGGGGACATTGATCATCTTATTTTGCCTTGACAACAAGACATTGTTCAGCTTTAATAGTCTTTCTTGATAACAAATTTGCGCAGAACTGCAAATATTTCTCAAAATTTTCAGAGATACTAATTTTACTATGTTGGTTCAATATTCTGAGATATTATTTCAAAAAAGTGCATGATCTGAAAATGACAGAAAGGTAAAAATAAAATTGCTTCGTGAAAGTCTAATTTACCGAGGGATTCTTTTAAGTGAACTGGGAGAGAGAGAAAGTTATAAAACTACCATTTGCTTAGAAAACTAGCTGTCAGAATCTTTACGTGACTAGTTTGAATAAACGTGACTGTAGAACCAATCGACCAGAAATGATCAGACCGTAGCCGGATGGATATGTACAGTATTTGTCGTGGAGTGTCATTTGATGTTCTTGTGACGTCATTACCGCAATCCCTTGACAATCATGAAGTTGAGAGCGCTGATATCAGATTAGTTCTGGCTCATGTTTTCCTTAATTAAACGTGAGTCGGACAAGTTTTCTTCTTAGAATTTATTTCGCAGTATAAAAGACTAATTCTCACACGGCATAGAACACAAATAGTGTCAAGAAAGACTAGAATGGACAGCAGAAATCAAGTACCGATTATTCAGACTGTTGTTTCTGGAGGTAAGAAAACTTGTCAACTTCATTCAAGACTAGTCAAAGGTGGGGAAAAAAAAGGGTCAAAGTCATAGCGAGGATTTCTTTCTTAAACTTCTCAAAATTCTATAAAGCAAGAGCCCTTATTCTACTGAATAATAGACAGTCTAGTAAAATCTTAAGGTCTAATAAGAAAGATACTTCTTTTTTATCATCAGTTCTGAAAGTCTTGCCTTCCTACAGTCTCGATTTTCACTCAGTCAAGGCTGAGGAATTCTAAGGTCCCATCCGCAATTGTATTTCAGTGTTTGGGCATTTTGCAGTTCCCCAACTAAGAGAGACTGAAAAAACCAACGATGGAAGGGATAGATTGAAATTCATTGAGCCATTATTAAATAAGCAGCCAATGGAGCTATCAGTACAACATTCAAGAACTCTGAAAGTCACGCACTCGAATTTGAAAATCTGAGACAAGCCTGGGAGACGAGTCTCGGACTCGCCATAAAATTGCGGTAGAAGGCATTATGAAGGCGCGCAAATTCGCCTTTCCTTTTTTTCCCGAAAACGCAGAATTTCTTTAAAACAAAATCCATTTTTAAGAATACGTGCATCATTTCACGACAGCAATACAACACCCCGGGTACAACACGCTGCCAATAAACGAAAGGGCAAGGGGGCATACCAAGGTTTTTGTCATGACATTAACGGATTTTTCACGTCGAGAGAAGAGTTCAAGAGAATCGATGCAAGGGGAAAAAGGTGCACTATGCTGAGTCATTTGTTCTTGTATGAAGCACTTCACAGCAAAACCGGAACATTACAAATGTTTGCAAATACGACTGTATACGTGTGTCCTCAGTAACACATACACGTTAGTTTCAAAATTTCGGGACACTACCCCTATACTTGGAGAGAGAAATATTTTATATACAGTTGCTGCTTCAGGTGCACTGCCTGGGCTGCATTTACCAATTTTAACGCTGAATGTTATTAGAAAGAAATGAAAAAGAGCAGTTCTTGTAGTGTTGCGTAATGTAGTGCCATGATAAAGCCATGATACGTCACGTTCAGTACCCAACCTGTCCACGTGTTTTTTTTTTTTGAGGATTGCGACCATGACGTCACGTACACGTAAATTGACGTCTGGAATAAGCTCGTTCCCAGTATCTCTCTTCCATCTTCCATAAAATTGGCATCACTGTCTTGATAAATACCCAGAACGATTTGTGGATTATTTTAAGAGCGGGTTTCCCTGCAGGTCTGTCAACATGTTGTGCAAAGACGGCAGCAGCTCCATTAGAAAGACTGAGGATTCTGTTCCAAGGCCAGAATCGACACTACAAAAACCTTGGTTAGTATGAATAAATCTTATCTTTCGTAATGTAGTATCATACTTTGTTAGAGCTTACGGCAGGGTGTAACCTGAATTGCAAGGATGGACAATAAGTTGACCTTGAGTTGAGTGGAAAAATTTGTGCTAAAATGGCAGTCTCGCGCTATTTTTCTTCCAACTGATACATTTATCGCTTTCTGTCGAATTCGTGTTAAAAATAATTTGTGTCATTATACTTTAAACCCTCTAAGTAACTTAAAGTCCTCTGGGTGTGTGTGTGTGTGGGGGTGTCTGTGTGTGTGTGGGGGGGGAAGGGGGTTTAAACATCAAAAATTCCAGTAGCGGGATAAAGGCGTAACAGGAGAATATTTTGAAAGAGCCTCCCCACGTCCGAATAAAAAATAGCCGTAGGCTACCGAACGTTAGCCAGAGAACTCTGCATAATAAACGGGAAATTCTCCGATCTCCGATGCCTAATTACCAGCTGCTAGCAGAGTCGCTTCGATCTTTCCTAGATAAGTCCCGACTTATCTAGGAAAGATCGAGGCGACTCTGCCAGCAGGGTAATGCCTAATGAACACTGTGCCTGTATATCTTGCTTGTTTTCTTTAGGACTTCTTTAGGACTGTATATCTTGAATTTCTTTCTTTAGGACTAATATCAGGATTAAAGGAAATGTTTCGCCATGAAGGTGTTATAGGATTCTTCAGAGGTAAGTTTAAAGTTACTTTGTTTTGCCGTACACAGTCAAACCTCTACTGATGGGCACTGCCCATAGCTGGACACCTCCCTTAAGTGGATACTTAGTCATGACTCCAGTGAGATATAAATTCAAGCTTAAGACTGCATGACACACCAAACAGACAGTCTTCTGTACATACATACATGTCGTGAAATCACGACCATTTTAGAAACTTCATGAGGCCTGCAGTGCAGATGTATTCTTTTTATGGGCTTATGCTAATCTGAAGTGTGTGTGTGTGTGTGTGTGTGTGTTGTGTAAAAGAAAAGATTAACCCATTCGCCTCTGGAGATTTTGCCGAAAAACGCATTTTGAAACTTTACCACCAAGCCATTTACAAATCGTACACTTTGCAGCCTCCTGATCCAGATGCAGGATATCAGCTTGGGAAGTTTGGGCATGTGCAGAAAGCAAAATTTCGAGATCATAGTTTTTGGGTTTAAAAGTGACACAGCATTCTTGACTTTTACTTTTCGCTTTCTCTCCTCCCCTCTTTTTTCTCTTTTCTTGCCTCATTTTTTTTCATGCCTGGGCATTTAGTAGGCTTCATTTTGGTAGGAAAAGTTTTTAGGAAAGCCTTTAGGATCTTAGGATTAAATGAAAGGAAAGGTAGGTGGGTAGAGGAACAAGATTTCATGGAAATCTTTACGTTACATGGTTTTTTGCCTTTTTCTCCGCTGTCTTTGACTGAATTGTGCTCATTCTGGTATGGTTTGAAAGATCTCTTCACTCTGCACAAGTTAGCAGACAAAGTTGTCCTTGACCATTAAAACTGATGACATCACAAGCAGTACAAAGCACATGGATCGGCACGGGCAGTCACGGGCGGTTCAGGGGTAAATGGGTTAAGAAAGATTAGACAGAATAGAAATAGTTTACAGTGGCGTAGAAATGCTTGCATATTGCTTCATTCATGTTTCAGAAGAATAGTATTAACTTTATTGCCTATGTTGATAGGAAATGGTGCTATGATGGTCCGAACATTTCCTCATGGAGCAGTTCAGTTCTTATCATACGAGCAGTATAAGCAGTTCCTGGATTCGCTGTGTGGGAAAGGAGCTTTGAGCCACTTGTTAGCTGGATCTCTTGCAGGTATTCCTTTAATGAAATGATGGTGTAAAATTTACACTTTCCGAGTTTAAATTAATACTTGTGTTGTCTAAAAGAAAAGTCTCTCTAAGATGGGTTTACTGGCCCAAGTACCATATTAGAGAAACATCTCCTTCAATGAGATTCAAAGAGATTTTGAAGAACAGCATGGCCTAACTCTACTATATGTAAGGCTTTGGTGCCTGCATTTGTAAGGACATTACATGTCTAGAATTACAAGAGAGAGGGCTTTGTTGTGACAATGATTACTTTTTATTTATTTATTTGCCTTGTTTAGGTGTTACAGCTTGTTCAATCACTTATCCCCTGGACACTGTCCGCTGTCGACTGGCATTCCAAGTTGCAGATGAGAAGTTGTATTTAGGAATTCGCCACACAATCAAGAAAATTTCAGGTTCTGAGGGAGGCTATGTAGCCCTTTACCGAGGCTTCTGTGCACAATGTTTGGCAATGATCCCCATGATAGGTAATGCTATTAATGGCATCTGCATGGTCAGCTTAAGTATTCTCTCTTTTTCTCTCTCCTTTTTCTCTCTTTTTAATATATAACAGCCTCTGTTGACATTATGTGATGTAAATCTCTTGCAGGTCTAAGCTTTTTAACATTTGAGAGTATGAAAAAATATCTGCTTTCCTTGAATGAAACATTAACAAGAGTAAACCCAACAACAGGAGAAACAGTTCTGTCTCCTACTGGGAGTTTAGTCTGCGGTGGTGTAGCAGGAATGATTTCACAGACAATAGCGTAAGTTAGCGAGACAACAATAATAAATTCCTTTTTTAATAAATTTAACCTGCCCATGGATCTCAATCATCTTCCTCTCACGTACACCTTTAAAAACACTGAGACTTGTATCAGGAAATTAAAGTGCAAAAATAAATATTGTTTCTTGTCCTGACTTACTGAGAGCCTGGATACTGCCTATCAGTAGATCTCTGAATTTTTTATGAAGGCAAAGCATTAAGGGTGCATTCGATTGATAGTATTCTGGCATGAGAATATGCAAAAGTTTTGTTACAAATCGCGTGCACTGAGAGTTTTGTAACACTAAAATGCTGCATACATCAAAAAATTTTATTTTAACAGATTTCCTGGGATTGTAATGCAATCAATGCCAAAATAATTGATTTCCAGAGTATTATTTTGTTTATATTTCTTCTTCTGGAATATGGTCAATGAATACGCCCTTAGTAGAGTTCAACATTCTTGGGTATCTCCTCTTTAAGATTTAATGTAATGCTGCCTTTCCACTGACTTTGATCAGGAAACAACTTTACTGTGGGTGACATGTGACCTCAAAAGCTGGAGAGAGAGCATACATTAGAACAATACATGTAACAAACACTCTGGTATGCTAATAAAAACTTCAACCTTCCCTTCTTCCTAAGAGCACACAAATATTATCCCAGAAACAAGAGTTTGAGTGCCTTCTTTTAGCTATGTGATTAATGATTTTAAAACAATAATGAGTCAATCTAACTGTTGTTGTGTACTAATCACTCGCAGGTATCCCCTTGATGTTGCCAAGCGACGAATGCAGCTTGCTGGAACAACACAAAATCGCAAAAAATTTAGGTATAAACCCATTTATTAATTTTTCTGATTACGTAAAGTATATTCTACATTAATTTGTAGATTCCGTGGTTATATATAATAGCCCTTAACAGATATTCTGACATTTCTTGCAAGCCATTACATATCATAAATTATACGAAAACAATTAGCTTGCCTACACCCTGTGGCTGTGGTTCATTCCTCATGGCTCATGCTGTGCATTGCTTTGTGTTTCGTTTAATAGTTGTTGCCTCCAAACTTTGAAGACAGTATACACTGAAGATGGTGTCAGGAGGGGTCTTTACAGAGGGTTGTCAATCAACTACTTAAGAGTTGTGCCACAAGTATCTGTCATGTTTGGGGTGTACGAGCTCTCAAGACAGCTTCTTACAGCTGCTTAGACCTAGAGTTCTATTATCATTTACTGATATTATATGTATGGCTAGGTCAGTTCATGATCAGTCAATTTCAGTCAATTCAATCCATCTCAGTCAAGCAGGCAGCAGAAACAACAATTACCACAATCCCATATGGTTAACCTGCTTTGTGGATCACCAATCTAGATTTGGAATAGTTTGACAGAAAATCTGAAAAACAAAGGATCCTATAGATTATTTAAAAATTCTGTAAATTCTTACATACAAAATACATAGATTACTATGAAGACGTACCAGTTAAACAATATAATTAACACAAAGAATTTAGCATACATCTTTAGTAATAATTGTTAACTTAGTATTTGTAGGGTAGCCACCACAAAACTGTATATATATTGTTTCTACTAGAAGGGGATTTATGAAAAGCCCCAGTGGTTGCTAAGATCTCCTGCTCGATAGCAATTCCTCTGTAATCTACAGAAAAAGTGTATGGAACCGGCAAATAACTAAATAAATAAACTTTCTACGTGAAAAAAAAAGACTAAGGTGGGTAATAAAAATGCTATATTGGATGTGAGAATTGCATGGAATTTTGCTTCTTTTTCTAAACATTTGACTTGGCTTCTCTTTGGGATTAAAAGCACTGTGAATGTCATATGCAACTGCCCTCAGTTGCTTGAAAGATCATGGATAGATAAATCACCATACAGTGGAGAGGGAAAGGGATTAATTCATTTAGTGGACAGCGTTATCTACTCTTTGAACAACTAGAGCCTGAGTGGAGAGAAGCTGTCTGTGTTTTTTACGATTTCTTGTCAAATGCCTCAAGCCAATGTCATTGCCATCATACGAGTACAATAATTATTTTGTTAAACTTAATTTATTTAGACATAAAAAAGATATACATTTAAGATGAAGATTTATCATTTTTTTTTAATTCATGCCAAATAGTTGTTGTATATTATAAAATTTCAAATCTATCACAAATTTTAGAAATCAATGTTGCTTACGATTTGTATTATTTGTAAAAAGAATATATTATTTATTTTTTGTTCAAGAAAAACAAATGGAAAATGAATAAAGTTGAATTAAACCATTTTCTTTGGTTCCAGTACTCTCTCATAAAAGTGAAGCCGTGGAAAAAAATTAATACTTGGGAATCGTTTGTAAGGCATGGTAATAAAAGACTTCCCAGCCATGCTTGAGAAATGAAGGATGTTGATGATGAGTTGTTAATCAACAGTGAACAGTGGACCTTACACCATTACTAAGTTCTTGTTTGCTAATTCCCATTACAGTCAAACCCCATTATCACAGATAAAGGCCGATTAAAGGGGTGTCCGTATTAAGCAGGTTGAATTTGTAGATAAAATGTAGGCGTTAGGGACAAGGAAGACTGTCCATATGAAATGGGTGTTCCTTGTCCCTAAACCATACACAGGCTGGAAACACACATTAGCTCACTCGCCCCATTTCCTCCTCTCTTTTGGAGCCCCCGTCAAAATCCATCATTACGCCGAACACTGAGGAGGCCACAGAAGGTGTGCGTAATGTTATTAAAGGGGTCTTCGTATCAAGCAGGTTGATTTTTTTGTAGAGAAAATGTAGGGCGGGTTAGAGGCAAGGAAAACTGTCCATAATAGCCAATAGATGAAAAGATCAAAACATGGCCTCTTCGCTTTACCACCAAAGAAAACACTAATAATTATGGACAAAGCATTGTTCGATTGGCCAATCGTCAGATGAATCGTGTTGTAGTATGACCTCAAAGCGAAGTATCGGTTGATTTCTAGAAAGTTCTCGGGCATGAAGTTTGAGGAGCAACCCGCCAAAAGCCACGCGCGTTTGTATCCGTTCGATAAACCAATCAAATCGCTCTATTTCCGTTCGTTTGTTGTTTCTGTTTTGTTTGCGCGTTTCTTGTCAAGGTCATACGAAAATCGCTCTAACGAGGTGTCCATATTAAGCGGGTGTCCGTAAAGCGGGGTGTGACTGTAGTAGTCAAAGTATCAATGTACCCATCTGCTGCGGTTTGTCATGTGACTTATGAAATAATTAATGTTGTCAATTCTCACAAAGTGTGCGAGCTCTGTTGGGGACCTAATTTTTTTCACGCCAGTGGAAGGGGTTGGCTAGACCCTGGAGTCATAGGCCCATACAAGACCATGCATGTTCAACTCCGATTTATGCTGATTAACTCGGCCAGGAGTTGTAGGTTAGTCACCAAAAACTCCACCATATTCGGTTAAGTGATACCCTATACAAGAGAAATCCTCCGATATGGCAGTGCCTCCCCCACCCCCCTCCCACACCCCCCCTCCACTATTCGCCCAACACCCGGATATCCAAAATTGAACGCACCAGCAAAAGTTTGGGGGGTAATTTTTTTGGCAATTTTGGAAAAAAAGATCTAAAGGGAACCGCTGTCTGAAATGTATACTGGAGAAATAGCAAATTTAGCAAGAACAACAAATTCAACAAGGATTGCAAGCTGTAACAAAAACGTGGTAGCAAATTTTTGTCTCAATGTTATAAAAAACATGTTTAATAGAAACTGCTTGAATAATTCTAAAAGAGTTTGCAAAAATCGCAAAAGTAACAAGAAATTTTATTGGAACAATAAAACACCCTAATAAATATCGCAAGAATAATAATTTCGCAAAAATCGCTAGCCTGAGAAAACAGACGTCGTAGCCTGCGTGCAGGAGGGTGTCTCCTTCTCGCGCGCCCGTTTTTTCTTGTGCCCACTACTTCGATTCCAAGCGCCTGCTACTCAGGCTACAGGCTTCGTGAAATGTTGGCTGCCCTCAGGCTAAAAAATTGCAAAAGTAACAAGAATTTTCATGGGTATATTTGTTACTCAGTCTTTTTAGGTAGCAAAATTCTTGCTACTTTTGCGATTTTTGCTAAATTTGCGGCCCTCTCGAGGCCCTTCTTGGCCTTTTCTTTTTAAGTCTAGAATTTTGTTAAATTTGTCATTCCTTCTCGCTATTCTTGCGATATTTGTTACTCAATCTTGTTAGGTACTTTTGCGATTTTTGGGGAATTTGCGGCCTTCTTGAGGTTCTTCTTGGCCTTTTCCCTTTATTTCTAGGTCTAGAATTTTGTTCAATTTGTTATTCTTGCTATTTTTGCAATATTTGTTACTCAGTTCTTAGGTAGAAACAAAAAATATTATTGTTTCAGTCGTGATTTTTGCGAAATTTGCAGCCTTCTCGAGGCCCTTCTTTGCCTTTCCTCTTCGCTGATCATTAAGTCAAGAATTTTTTGTTAAATTTGTTATCTGGTTATTCTTGCTATTTTTGCGATATTTGAAAGTGAGTGTCCTACAAAATTTTCTTGTGAATCACTTTGCAAAACTGTTGCGAAAAAACTTAGCTCGTAAATTTCTTGCTCATGAGTTCAATTGCGGACCCGGGTATTGAAACGTTTGAGATACACTCGTTTTTATATAAGAATGTTAAGTTGTTTTTCAGGCCCAGGCTAACCTGCGAGAGCATGCGGTTTTTTCTGTTCTAGTTTCATCCACCTAGAGCCGAAAAAAGCGGATACTCTTGCAGGCTAGGCCCAGGCTGGCTGAATATTCTTATATTTCTGCCGATTTTTGGCTGAAAATATTCCAGTATTATTCTTAAATTAAAGCTTAAAACATGTACTGCCCATAAGTCACGTTAGATGTACCGTTCATCATTTAGAGACTGAGGAATAACTTAACCCTCGGACGTACAAGCAAAGTCATATAGTAACTGACCATCACTAAACTTGTCTTGTGTCAGTAAAACATGGCGTCGGGGTTAACAACAACAACAACAATAAGCTTTATTTGCATGACCATAACAAAGTATTACAGTATTGCAAAAGCTACTTGAAATTACTCATTGATTCCTTGTAAATTAAATATTTAAAATAATTTGAGATAAGTTTGTCTCTCAATTCAAAGCAAGTTGATATAAATAAAATTAATTGGATGTGATAAAATAGTCAGTAGAATTCATCAGATGTGATAAGAGGGACTCATGTGATTGTAGTCGCAGAAACGGTATTTTAGGTTCTAGTTTAGAGAAGAACATATCTCTTACCGAAGAAAAACTTGGACAATCTAATAAAAAGTGAGTTTCATCTTCAATTCTGTTACAATTGCAGAGATTGCATAACCTTTCGTCACGTGGTAGATTGTCGTATCTACCTGTCTCAATCCTAAGTTTGTGACTGCTTATTCTCAGTTTCACTAATGATTTCCTAGAAGGGTTCTTTCTTGTTCAATCTAGGTAGACAGAAGGGCTTTTTGATTTTATAATAAACGTTAGGTTTTTGTGAATGTTGAAGGGTATGATTCCAGTAAGTGATATATTTCTTTTGCATAAGATCTACATATTGCTTAATTTTACATTTATTCAGTAAATAACCCTAACCCTAACCCTACCCGTAAAACACAACCTCGTTCCAGGCCAGGACTCCTGCCCAGGGTGCTTTTCCCTGGCCGCCCCAACTCCAAAGCCTGGGAAAATTAAAGCGCCCTTTCGACACGAAGATTTCAGTACCAGAACAGTCAATACAATGACGAATGATCATGAAACAAAGTAAAATAACCGTTAAGAAAGAAAGAAACATCAATTATATATTGAATATTATCATAAAAGAAAAATTGCTTGGCTATGTACGACTTCTACGCTACTCGTATGGTAAGAAAGTTTAATTAGAGTTTGGATTTACAACAATTTAGAATATTTTCAATATAAGAAGCACTAAGATTTATGATGTTTTCATGGCACATAGACATGACAGATAAAAATAGGGTCGTGACTAGAATGGATACTCCAAAATCAGGTATCCGCTCGGAGACTGGAACTGAATAAAATTATTTTTCGGCAAATCACTCCGACTCTTCACGACCTTGTTGTGTTCAAAGAGATAAGCATACAAAGACTGACAAAAGGCCAAGATGCGAATGGTTACTCCAAAATATGGATCAAAGCCTACATAGAGGTTAGTTGTTTTTCACGTTCTTTTTGTAAGAATTTAGTGCACGGAGCAAACAATGTCTGTTTAATTACAGTACCACGACTGCCGTGTAAAGCTTATTCATAGCAAAGTATCTGTTTGGATAGCTCAGAATAAGGTGGATACTTCAGAATAAGAATGGCCAAAATATGAAAGTTTTGGCCATCTGGATTATTATTACTGAACTTCCCAACATAAACATGATTGTTGCGTTTACAAAAAGGGTACAAATACAGTCAATTATTGTGTATTTATGGCTCAGTTAATTCGAAGCTTGCTTATAGGATAGCAGGCCGGGGAGCGGGGGTGGGGGTACTCGACCAATACTTGGGTATAGGTGAGCCGCTGAGGGTTTGAAACCCATACCCTGTTTAGGATAACACCCTCAACATTAGTACCCTGATAGGACAACAACTCCCTCAGACGGGGACAAGGTTATCAAGCACACCTGTCAACTTGTACTTATCGTAGCTAGACAAAGGTGCCAAGAACAATAGCATTTATATTTATTCCAGTAAATGCTTTGGGTGATGAGGTACTAAATATCTGTAAACGTTTGCACTAAGACAAACTCGATCATGCATGAAACACCCTGTTTATAATTAGAACAGACTCGCACAAATCATGCACACTGTTTAGGACAGACTTGCACGAAATTGTATACCCTGTTTAGGACAAACTTGTGCCAAACTATATACCCTGTTTAGGACAGAGAGGATGAAAACCAAACCCTGTCCAGTGGCACATCCCCATGTCGGCCATATAAGGGAGTACCCTCCCCGGATAGCAGACAGTTGTTCATTATTTATGGCTCAACATAAACTATTTCTGTTTTCTTATATGTTATGGTTGATTTTTTTTTCAGTAGTAAGTTGCTGTTTAGTTTAGTGTGACAATAATGGATACTTTATGAGATTATAAAAACCAAAGTGACCCTCACAACCTGTGGGATACATGGGTCAACCTTTTGGTGTGCTGGGTGTCTGGCACAATTTATTAGCCAACCAGAACCCAAATCCTTTTATAGTCTTTTCTATGACCAAAAGGCCCAATGTTGGCTACTTTTGGCAAATGTAAACTATGTGATTCCAAGTTAGTCATTTTGTATTCCTGAATCTGCTGTGTGAACCTTTGTAATTTCCAGTCACATTGAAGGTGTTGAAAAGGTAGTCCCATTATAGTCCATCCTGTCATGAAATGCTGCCCCATCCACAGGAAGCCCAGTTCGTTGGACTTTGAATTTATAAGAGAATGTATGACAATAAACAAAATGTGTCCTAAATTCCATTTTTGGACGAAAATAGAAATAAGAATGACTTACCTTATGCTTTTTGTTTTGTTAAGCTAAAACAGCCTGGAAACTCTACTTCAATAATTATTATTAATTTATCAGTATTTTAGTTATTTATTTTGATATTAGGCAGGTACCACAAGGAACGATTTGGTTGTTCCTTTTTAATTCAGATGATAGGCAACTTTGTAGGTGATAATTATTTGTAATGCACTGAACTGGGGGCCTTTCTCTGCTACCAAAAAAAAAATATAATTTTAACATCTTTTCATAATAACTGTTGAAAACTCTCATCTAAAACAAAAGGGTCAAGGCTTATTTGCTGAATCAAGGCACTGTATCGTGGAACACAGTGCTTTTTAGAATTACCGCCAAAGTAGTAGCTTTATTTCCAGAAAGACTGATTATAATGGAAGCTTTATTTAATGCATGGCTAATTTCAAATTTTCAGGTTACTTTCCAACCCAGGTATAGAGGGTACATAAAAGCATGTTGTGGAAGTGGAGAAAGAGTAAGAGGAAAGTGAAAGAGAGGAAAGAATTATGAGAAAAGGAAAAAATGAAAAAATGGTTGTGGAATTGTAAACATTTGAACAACTTTATTTTGATAAAAGTAATAAACAATTTATTTTACACATTTTATCAAATTGTTAGAGTGGTTTGTTTGTGGTTTTGAGAATTTCATTAACCAAATGGTCAAGCTACCCAGACATGCAACTGAGCAGCCAACTGCTTGGCCTTCTCCAATTTTCTTCATTTCCTTCTCCAACTGGTTTCTCTGTTCGGCTCACAAGCATTTGTCTGCAACACCCCCCAGACCTCCAACTGCTCCTCCTGTTACAGCTGCAACATGGATATGCCTGCATGATCATTTTTATTCCATTTTAAATTTATGATAAGCTCACCATACTAAGTGAAAAACAGAAAGTAGCCCATAACCAGCTTAATGCTGAAGGTCTTGCACTTGGCTGAGAACTGTTGTCAGACAGTTCAGTGTGGGATAGGGTATGGAAGGCAGAGAGTTTTGGTCACAATGAGGATCCTGGGATTTGAATAAAACAAAACAACAAAACAAAACAAAAACCAAGTGCAAAAAAAGTAGCTATAAATAACTGTGCAAAAATCCTAATATTTAGGATAAATAACTTGGATTGATACTAGAGATTCTAGTAAATGTAAAAAGATAGCAGGTGAACATGGGCGGGCTGGCAGAGGCCAGCAGTAGATCTAGGGGAGGTCCCCTTCCCTCCATATTTCTAGATCAAACCGAGGACAACAGTGCCAAGAAAATTCTTTTCTGGATTGAGCTCCTCCATACCTTAAGGTCTGGATGAGTGGTTCCTCCCGTCACCTTAAGGTCTGGTGAGAATCCTCCCCCCCCCCCTCTTATCTGAAGGTTAAGATCTGCCACTGTAGGCTCCAGGTCCTATATCAGAGCATATACAGAGACACTACACTAATACAATCTGCAGGACCGTTTTTTTTTTTAGAAACTTGAGCATATGCCTGCCTGCGCTTGTAAGAGTGATCAACAAGCTACAAGAAGTATGACCTGAAGTAAATTATGTGTTTTTTACTATTGTTAACGCTTGGAATCAACTAACCCATAAAATTACAAGATGGTTAACTGACCTTAACTGTATTTGTACCCTCTTTGTAAACGTAACAATCATGTTTATATTGGGAAGTTCAGTGATAATAATCCAGATGGCCAAAACTTCCATATTTCGGCCATTCTTATTCTGAAGTATCCACCTTATTCTGAGCTATCCAAACAGATACTTTGCTATGAATAACCTTAACAAGGCAGTCGCGGTACTGTAATTAAACAGACATTGTTTGCTCCTCGCACTAAATTCTTACAAAAAGAACGTGAAAAACAACTAACCTCTATGTAGGCTTTGATCCATATTTTGGAGTAACCATTCGCATCTTGGCCTTTTGTCAGTCTTTGTATACTTACCTCTTTGAACACAACAAGGTCGTGAAGAGTCGGAGTGATCTGCCGAAAAATAATTTTATTCAGTTCCAGTCTCCGAGCGGATACCTGATTTTGGAGTATCCATTCTAGTCACGACCATAAAAATAGTGCCTTGCAAGACGTATTCGTAAAATTACTGTTTATCGAGTATAGGCTCTCCAAGAAGATACTCCTCATATGAGAAAGTTATGAGTGAGTACATTTCAACAAATAGTCGAATTCATCACCAATTTATGATCTATTACAAAGGGGGCAAAGCCTCTCAACTCTGGGTATCTTCTCGTAGCGCCCAGAAGTGGCAAGAAAAAAGATACCGATCCCGACCCAGAGTGCCGGTCCTGGCCCCGACCGGGCCCCGCGTTTTACTGAAACCCGTTTCCAATAGAGTTATTGCGTGAAAGTTGAAGCGAGAGCAAAAATTTTTTTTTTTTGGAAGCGTAACCCTAACTCTACGACGTAACTCTATAGAAATAACTCTAAGAATAGCAGTCCACGTTTTGCTCTACTCCATGGTACAATGAGACCGCGGGCGCGATCCATTCAACCAAAATTTCCGGAAATTTCGGTCCAAAACTCAATGGATCGGCTCGGTCCAACCGGAAAAGTTTCGAAAAAACTGGTCCACCTTTTGAGGTGGTCCTCTTTTCCCGGTCGGACTGGTATGAATTTTGGTTGAATGGATCGCGCCCCGTGATGTCTTACGGGATATTCTCTTGCCTGCTCTCACGTTTGGTTATCGGTTGCCTTGAGGTATTCGCTAAAAAGGTTTTCGCGTGACGAGATGTCTGATACAACAGGAAAGGTGAGAAAATTGTATAAACAACTTACTTAACGTAGGAATTCGTTTATGAGGAAAGAGGCGCTTTATGTGCAACGGAAAGAATCTAAGCTGGAACACGTTGGAATTGATCTCGGGCGCAACGTGTTTAACGGGTCATTCTGCTCTTTCGATAAAATAAATTTCGTAATTCCCTTGATCTGAAACACTGTCTTGGATAGTATGACTGTAGGCTAGGGGGCATGGAAGATGAGAGATAATTCTAGATGAATCTACAAAATCTACGTTGACTTCGAGTTAAAAATGTAAGCTACAAGATGGAAATCGAGAAATTGCGCTCGCGACATAGACGTAGACATAATGTCTATGACATATGTGTCATATGTGTCATTATAAGTGTCATATTTCATATGTCATGTGTCAGATGTCATATGTGTCTATGAAAATGTCTATGATATATGTCATACATATGTCATAGACATAGACATATGTCACATTATGTGGCATAAAAAACATGAGATGAGAAATAAAAAATGCAAAAGAATGGAATAAAAAATTGTGAGATGCGAGGTTAAAAAAATGCAAGGTGTGAGATATAACATGCGAGATGCACGGCTGACTCGTCCCCGGTTGTCTTGAGAAACGCGCGAGTAAAAAATCCAAGATGCGAGATGTAAAAGGCAAGACTCGGAATATGCGCGATACAAGATTAAAATGGAGATGCGAGGTGTCAGGTAAAACATTTTTATGTCAGATTTTGGATTTTTGATATTGCATCTTGTAAATATGTCTCGTGTCTATTTTCTATCTTGAATCTCTGATTTTTTATGTCACGTCTCGCATTTTCTATCTGGCATCTTGCATTTTTCCATATAGCTCGAAGTCAGCCTGGATTTTTCAGATTCATCTAGCTTTATTATTTTGGCATTAAGTACATTAAGCACAATTTAGAGCATTACGTGTAATAGTGAACATTACCAGACCCATTTTGAGTAAATGTTCATGTCTATCAAAGAAGGGTCTTGTATAGATACGGGTACACTAGGTCTTGTATCCTGGAGGGCTCTGGCAAATTTGGGTGATGTTGTGCTGCATGCTTCATGCAACCATACCATTGATATCCAGAGATGCCAACCTCTGGAGATCTAAAATCTGTAGACTATATCACAGATTATTAACATCTATCCTCCCCTTCGCTCTTGTTAATTGCAGCCTATATCCTGCCGTGCGGCAGTAGCCTGGGAGGCTGGTAAACCACTTACAATAGAAACAGTTGAAGTGGCACCACCCAAAGCTGGTGAGGTACGCATCAAGATTATAGCTACTGGTGTCTGTCACACAGACAGTCACACTCTTAGTGGCAATGACTCTGAGGGAAAGTTTCCTGTTATTCTTGGACATGAAGGAGGCGGCACTGTTGAAAGTGTAGGAGAAGGAGTAACAAGAGTTAAACCTGGTAAGTCCTGTGGAAAGTTTGATTCATCTCTTGAAACTGTATTTGAGTATAGTCAAACCTCCATGTGCGACCTCCCCTTGTAAGCGACCATCTCCCATTAGCGACCAGTTCTTGAAAACACCAAAACTTTACCAGTCGAAATCTTATAGCTGGAACCTCTTACAAATGACCACCTCCTGTAAGAGATCTGCAATCACCTTTTGGGCTGACGGGCTAATTTTTTAGCTGCCCCTAAAATTTTACCAGGATTTGAGAATGCGCTATGATTGGCCTGTGGTCGATTTGTCATTCAGGTTGAAAGGAAATTCTAAATGCACTTGTAGTCATTTTATTGGGTCTGAAGGGGGTTGTGGGGGGGGGGGTTCAGAGCAAGGATCTTGGCACTGATTTACAGACATCACTGCCTGGAGCTAGACTGCATCTATGATGCAGCAGGAAAGCAGAGTCAAGAGTTATAATGACATTTCATGATGCCATTTTTTGGGCAGGTGACCATGTTATTCCACTTTATATCCCTCAATGTGGAAAATGCAAGTTTTGTAAAAGCCCCAAGACTAACCTTTGCAGTACAATAAGGTAAATACCATCTTTAATTTGCATGTGTATATCAATTATTGTCTGCAAACTCAGGCTACGTTAATATATTCACCTGGTACCGGGCAGATTTTTGACAGGTTTAAAAGTTTAACTGGACAGGTCGTTCACACAGGACTATTAAATATTTGGGCTCTGTTCGCATGGAACTTTGAATGGCTAGGCATCTAACTTTTTGTCCGGTTAAGGTGGTACCATTTAAGTGGGACACCTAGATGTAAATGCATGAATTTTCTACCGGTTGAACATTCATCCAGTGCCAATAGCCTCAGTGGGAAGAGTGGGTTATCATGATTATGTTTTATAAAAATATTATAATAGGAGGGAAGGGGAATGGGGTTCCTGTGTATGGGGTTTTCTTGAATTTTAATTTTAAGAAGTCATAAATACATCTATATTTACTTGTCCTTATGGCAGATCAACTCAAGGTCAAGGAGTAATGCCTGATGGAACTTCACGATTCACATGCAAGGGTCAAACTGTGTACCATTTTATGGGTACAAGCACATTCAGTGAGTACACTGTTGTTGCTGAGATTTCAGTTTGCAAGGTAATGGTTGTGACATTTTTCTTATATCAATAATTTTATTTATTTGGTATAATGTAGCTATAATTTTTTTCGAGACTTTATGAGTGTCACTGCATTTTTTTTTTTGACAAAATAATAACCTTCAAGCTGACTGACAGCATTTGTCACTTTTGCATTGAAATTGCACTTTAGAAACCCATTCGGCCATTGCTTTGATTTTATTGTTTTTGTGTTATTTAAGAATTTTACTGTTGTTTCTTTATTTAAAATACTGTTACATAACTTGCATTCCAGGTTGATGATAATGCGCCACTTGAAAAAGTTTGTCTTCTTGGTTGTGGTATTTCGACTGGATATGGTGCAGCACTTAACACAGCGAAGGTACTGATTCAAGATATCTTATAATTCCAATGGATCCCAGCAAATATTTTAATGCATCAACTGTGCATGTTCTTTTGGTTGTATTGAGACAGTGCTGTTGGGATAAACATCTGATATGAAAATATTTCCCAGTTTAAGTCAGGCTGTGTCTGCCATGAGTATCTTTTCTCCAATTTTGCAAAAAAGAACAGATTTATAATTGAATAAGTCCTATCCTGTCCCTGTCTGCATGTAAATAACTATAGATACGAAAATTGGTACAAATTAAAGTGGTTACCTGGAATATTTCAGTCCTCAAAATACTGGATTTGATACATTTTTAATGGTTAAGTGCAGCTTAACCTACAGTATGCCCATCAGAGTTGACGTTAGGCCCGATTCAGACCCCAAACTTTTCGTGAGCCGAACCTAATTCGAATTAAGGCCGACCCAAATTATTGAGAATGGCTGAATTGATTCAGACGCCGATCTTAATTGCAGCTGAACTAAATCCAAATAAAGGAGAAAAGTGCTTATTTTGGTCAAACTGCTTACAATAATATATGCTTATAATAATGTAATAATTATATAATTATAATAATTTATACATTAGGTTCGGTACATAAAAAGTTCGGCGTTTGAATCAAAGCCGTTCCAAAGTCACTCCAAAGACGAAATTCCTGGCCTGGCTAAGTGAAAAGAAAGGCTGAGCCGGGCGTTCCAAATTGAAACAGGTGTTCCAGATGCCAAACTTTTCATGTTCTTAATTCAATGTATAGTTTCAGCTCATGAAAAGTTCAGCGTCTGAACCAGGCCTTACTGTTTCTGTCTTGCACAGGTAGAGGCTGGTTCTACGACTGCTGTTTGGGGACTGGGAGCTGTTGGACTAGCGACAGTAATGGGCTGTAAGACTGCAGGGGCCTCAAGGATTATTGGGATAGATATCAACCCTGATAAATTCCCTGTGGGTAAGTGTTGCTAAATCATTGTTCAAAGCACCCCTTGGCCTTTTTTGTTGAGAGTTAAAAATCTGACTTATCATAGTACTGGTACACCATTTTATGCAGCTGCATGGGTTACTGTTTTCTTTCCATCATATTCATACAATTCATTTTGGATTAGCTGAATGAGGCCTGTCATATGTACTCATAAGGTAAGGCCTGGTTGGTTTTTTATCCATTCAATATTAAATTTTGCTTGCATTTTTTTTTTACTTTTGTTTTTAACAGCTAAAGAATTTGGCTGTACAGAATTTGTCAATCCAAAGGACCATGAAAAACCCATTCAGCAGGTCTGGGAAGATTGGTTTTTGCTTTTTGTTAAACATTAATGTTTGAAATGTTGAAGAGATTGAGTGAAATGAGGATACCGTAAAATTCTGAAAATAAGCCCTGGGGCTTATATTTTTCAAAGGCCCTTTTTGAGGGGCTTATCTACGGAGGGAAATTTGTATTTCAAAATCGATTGGGCTACCCTTATAGTTGGAAGAAAATTTGCTGTTTTCGCTTTGTTTTACTTTGTATTTGAGGGCAATTTTCCAAGTACAATCCTCCGGGGGGCTTAAATTTGGAAGGGCGATTTAACGGAAGGTTTATTGCATTACCGGTTTGGGGGGCTTATACATGGATGGGCTTATTTTCGGAATTTTGCGGTATACTAGTTGTTGGGAAGTACAGGTTACGGGGTTATCATGACTGGGGGACTTTTTTGTGGGTATTTACAGTCATCCCAAGAGAAATTGAAGACATTAATGCTTATCCAAAATTTTGGGGGGCAAAGAAGGTATATTACGGGAGATGTGCAAGTGGCAGATTTATAAAAGAAATTGCAAAGGCCCAAGACTACATGTGTTAAATGTCCTGTAATGCATATGTAGATATGGTTATTTTGTTCTATAAGGTCCTCATAGAAATGACTGATGGAGGCCTGGACTATACATTTGAGTGCATTGGAAATGTCAAAACAATGGTATGAACAACTGTATACGTATATGCACATACACACTTTATGTCTTATAAATGTGGTACATAGTTATTATTTATTTTTGTATTAAGCCAACCTGGAAACAGGTTTTTGTAAATAGAATCGTTCTTGTAAGTCTTGTTTGAAGGGGTGGGGCATTTTAAGTGTCTCCACAAATCCCTCTCTGTTGACCAAGAAGTACCCTCCATTGATTATTATGGACATGTTTGGGAATAATGTATTGTAGCAAGTAAGGATGGCTTAGGACAAGAGGAATTTTATGTGTATTACAAATGACAAATGAACAATTCGGCCGAGATATAAGAACCATGATTTCCCCTGCTGCCTTAGAATACTGACATGGATGCTGTGTTTTTAAGCGAGCTGCTTTGGAAGCCTGTCACAAAGGATGGGGAACATCTGTCATTATTGGAGTTGCTGGAGCAGGACAGGAGATATCCACAAGGCCTTTCCAACTTGTGACTGGAAGAGTCTGGAAAGGAACTGCATTTGGAGGTTCAAATTATCAATTTACTCTTCGACTCCCTTAATTTCCTAATTATTCAGGGATGCTTAGGTCTACATTGTAATTTGTTGTTTAGCATAATAAGGTCTGAGAAACGAAGTTATATAATTTTAATGCCATGTTTCATGCGAGGAAATCTCATTAGGATACTGTAAAATCCCGAAAATAAGCCCCTCCATGTATAAGACCCTCCAAATACAAGCCCCCCAAACTCGTAACGCAAAAAACCCTCCGTTAAATCACCCCTCCAAGTATAAGCCCCCCGGGGCTTGTACTTGGAAAATTGTCCTCAAATACAAAGTAAAACAAAGCAAAAATGGTAAATTTACTTCTAACTATAGGGTTAGCCTAATCGATTTTGAAACGCAAATTTCCCTCTGTAGATAAGCCCCTCCGAATATAAGTGCCTCCAAAAATAAGCCCCTCAAAAAGGCCCTTTGAAAAATATAAGCCGCGGGGCTTATTTTCGGAATTTTACGGTATCTCAAGTATTTTCTACCTTGTCACTGTGTGCCTCACTGTCTCCATAACATAACTAAACAAAGCCCTATGTTATGGTTGTACATTACCCCCAGACAGTTCATTATCTTTAAGAGCCGAGCCTTGTGAAAGACTTGCTCTTATCTATTTCCTTTACATCCCGAAATTTCAAGGCATTACAAAATTTATTATCAGGAAGAATAAAGAGCAGTGAAATCCAGATTGCAATTTGTTGAAAGTGAAAAAACTAGTAGAAAATTCAGAACAGTTTGGGTGCATGTTTTAGTTAACACATCTGTGTGCATTGATGCTAACTGACAAACAAGGGTACGTGTTATAGTGACAAGAAAGTCACAGCGAGGCTGGAAACACACATTTAGCTCACGTTGATGGGATTGACAAAACACCTTCAAATAGTTTTAAACCGACTTTTGATCTCTTTCATATCTCCATTCTGCCTTTTTGCTTTTTGATGAAAGGCCATGGAAGTTAGATTATCCTTTAGACAATATTTAGACTTAGAGAAGCTTCAATCGACTTTAGTCCGATGCAGTTATTGTAACAAAGTCGACGAAGTGTTTCGGAGCCTTACTAGTGTTGAGCATTTGGGGCTCGTCCTCGTAGAGCATCCGCTGTATAACTTCTTGGATCGTGTATTGAAACAGTAAACAGTAATAGACCGAGTATTAAGCCCTGGGGAACACTAAAAACTATTTACTTGTAATGACAGGCTGGAAGAGTTGCGACAGCGTTCCCAAACTCGTGGAAGATTACTTGGCAGGCAAAGTTAAGGTGGATGAGTTTATCACTCACACGATGCCACTGGATAAAATTAATGAAGCTTTTGATCTCATGCATGCTGGGAAAAGGTTTGATCATACAGTAGATGTTAAATCGTGACTTTGTTTTGTTATTGTTGTGTTACATTGTACGAAGTTACGTCATAGTCGTGTTATGTGTACATGGATGCGCTTGCGCAGGAGTGAGAACTAGGAATAAAAGAAGACTAGAATGTTCATGTTCAACGCTCGCGTTGATTCATAATTTCGTCCTTGGATTTCTAAGTTACAACAGTAGGAACTTAACAGAGTGTTTGATATGATATCCTTACACCATGGAGTAATGTATACAAGTAATACCAAGAAAGAGTGTTTAAACTGATATGCCAACGTCGAAGAGTCATAATTATATCAAACACAAGTAGGAGTGTTTTATTGGACTTTGAGATGGAGTCTTTCATGAGATACTAACCCTCCAAGTATTGGGTTGTAAAAACAAAGTCACAAATGTGCGGAGCAGTTTGCGTGCGCTGGGGTAAATACGGTATTGTGAAGTCAGGGAATAATTTATTTTCACTCCTGAAGCTAGTAGTAAGTCAGTTCCAGGGTGTGTTCCTTTTTGTTTTGTTTTCTTTTTCTGATTTTATGTGATCGTCTCGGTTCTCTTTTGCAGCATTCGAGCCGTTGTTAACTTCTAAAGAATGGCAACCAGTGATATCCGGTGAGCACTGTTTTACTTTGCGTTAAAAATGTCGAAGTTTTCTTTTACGTTGTAGACTAGTTAATGGTTGTCGTTTTTATCCGTTGCAGCTTCTTTGGTCCGAGGAAGAACAACCGTATGAAAGTGGTGTTTTGTAGAGCTGAAATGCAAGCAGCTGTAAAACCAGCAATCTGTTAATATAACTAATCAAATTTAAATGAAAAAGTTGGAGTGATATGTCGGCGTGTGGACTAAATCTTGTTATGGAAAGCAGACGAATTTTAAGATGAAATCTGATGACCACGAGACCCTTAACCTCTAAAATGCCACCACAGCCTGGCAATCACGTGGTGAGCGCGTGGTGAATGAGCTGTCGCCACTTTAGAGACGAAAAGAAAAAACTGGGCCGAGTTAACTTTCGCAAAGACTTCTGGAACTGTTATTAAGAACAGGGGGGGGAAATTGGCCAAAAGCTGACCAGCTCGTCCCCAGTATCGATCCCAGAGGCAACGGGCCACTTCCGAGTTCCAAAAACCCTCACTTTCAAAATGAGGCCAAGTGCACAACTTTTCTTGTGAAAATTTGCATGAGAGTGAAAAATCATTTGCATATCAAAGGCTGAGCACTTAACCTCGTTTTGATGCAGAGGCCCGGGGGAACTCGGAAATCGCCTATTGCGCGACACATTTCGGCACCAGTCCCCTTATCGTTTCTTAAGTGGCGAATTATATACGTTGGAACCTGAATAAACGTCCCTTTATCAAGCTACGAAAGAGTCCCAATTTTTTAGCTCATACGTGTACTTTAAAGGCGGCTGAGGCCACTCTTCAGCTGTCCTAAGTTTGTCTTTCATCGTTATCTTTACCAACAACAACAAGCTTTATTTGCACGACTATAACAAATACAGTATGCATAACTTATTATTGATTCGTTAATTAATTCTTAAGATAACGTAAAATAGGATAAAAAAGTAAATACTTATTTCAAACTATTCATACAGTAGGAGTAATTATTCCGACGAGAAGTATATCTCTCAGTTCGAATCACTGAATTAAGCGGTCACCTTTGTTACGATGCTACGAGCGTGTTAGTATAGACCTTTGTCACGTGGCGGCCATTTTGTCTCAAGAGATTTAAAAAGCTTTATTTTTGCCCGGCTAGCCTCGTAGAGAGAACGAGGCTAGCGGGGCATTTAAATCTCTTGAGACAAAATGGCCGCCACGTGACAAAGGTCTGTTGTTTGTGCTTCTCAACGTTTTGACGCTGTTTATATTTATATGACCTTTCCAAATATTATTTTTTCCACTGGGTTTTGTGCGGCACTTTATTGGCTGTAGTATGGGCATCACGCTTTGACAATGTCATGAGTGCTCTGTGCAAATACTTTAACAATCATTATTACATTGTTACGCTATTAAGCATGGAGTCTGTCTTTCGTCTTTGTTTTCTCCTCGGCGTTCACCTGATCATCGGGATTTTACACACTTTCTACAATACTAGACATTGTTTCTTGGTGGTTAAACTAACGTAATAGAGGGAAAACAGTAGCAATAATAGATACATAAAAATAAAGTCGAGAAAGAGAGAACAAAAAGCAAATAAATAGAAAACATAGGACCAGAAGCTCAGCAAAAGACCGGTTAAGAAGGTAGGGTTGTGACTAAGGGCTATAGATAAGACAGAAAGCAGAGTAAGGCCAAAGCTGACCTAAAATGCGCACCATGTACCCGGAGCACTCCCCTAAAAGGTCGGACCCCCAAACGCCCACCCCCCAACCCCTCCGTTGGATATTCGTTCTAAATGTCCGACACTATCTGATTTAATGTGTACTACGTAACTATGCAGCTGCATGCAGTCACTGGTCGCCCAGACTCCATCTGAATGATGTTTGAATTTTTTTTGAGAGAGATTATAAAGAAATAAACAAAGAAATGAGTTCTGAAATTTGCAAAATTTTGGAGAGTTTTAGATTTCTAGTTGTACGGTAGGTTCGAGGGGAGGCACGGCCACATAAGTCCCAAACGGTTATATGTGCCGCCCAACAGGGTATGCTTAGACAGGTTGAGTTATTTGGACTTGCATCCTGTTGCATTGAATGCCTTGAGGTAATATACGTGTATCAAGCATGTGACGCAGTGTTTCATTATCAGATCTCGGAGTTGAAAATATGCGACGCGCAGCGGAGTATTTTTGACGAACTTTGAGGTCTTTCATCCGGTCATCTGGTAATGAAACACTGTGTGGAATGCTTGATATTACTTCTCAAACAAATGTGATTTTAGAAGGAGAAATTAAAGATGCAAAGATGAGCAGTTTTTCATCTGATTTCCAAAGAACATTAATTTCCTTTGAATTTTCTATATGAATTATTAATGAGTTTGGGAACTTGAATCAGGGCACGAAGAAAGTTACGAACAGATTTTGTCCGGTGTGAGGGCCTCGGTGGTACCGAACCTGTTAGCCAAATGTCAAAGATGATGATAGAGAGGCTACATCGTGACGCAGTTAGCAAAACACCCACAGCCATATATTACCACCAACATGAAACTGAAAAGAAAAAGAACAGACGCTTAATTCAAAACCACGACATTAAATTGGGCGTCAAATACTAACTACACGCTCTTATTCGCTATGAGCATCATGAAAAATTACTTGTCTGAACGACAAAATCACAGCTTCATGTCACACAAGAAAGCATTATTTCAAACGTTATAAAGAACAAAAAAGAACAACCTCGTTACCAGGGTTCACTCCTACCCGTCCCTACGGAGCGTGAGAGAACCTGGGAACGAGGTTGCAAAAAAGATCTGAAAATCATCTCCATTTTTGTTCATCCGCGCGTCCATTTGTATTAACTTTGTTCAGTTACATCTCTGTAAGGTTTTGAGCGGTAATCATTTATCTTTCACTCAGTTTGATGGCAGGTCCCACGTGTGCACTAATTGAATTTTGGTAAATTTCGTGACACAGCTCCGTTAAGTAGCATGACTTCGTCAATCTCAGGCCCAATTTACTTTTTCTTTAGTTCCAACATGTTGATTCATTGATGATATTTTCATTCTTTTGGTGTTTGAGATTTTTCTTTGTCTAATTCTTGTATTGAGGGGTATTCCGAGGAGATCCGAGCTGTCGGGGGGGTGTTCCGGGTTATCCTGGTCCCGTTCGGGCCCGGAATTATTTTAAATCAAAGTCTCAAGGGTGTTCCGACCTCTAATGAGGCCGTTTTGTTAGCTAATAACTCTACATAATTTTCCTTTAAAACAAACTGGAAAACAAAACACACCCGTAACGGCTTCGAGAAACGCCCCCTGGACGCTGGTCGCTACCTGGACGCTGGTCGCTACAAGGTAGGTAGCATTGCCTTCAGCATCGCGTTACGATCCGTTACAATTCACTTTCTTCACATGTCAATGATCGCCTCTCCTAGAATGTCGGAGACAGAAGGAAAGGTAAGTCTTATAACTTTATACACGCACTGGCGAGCTGATAGTTTCTCAGAGTCAAATATATTGCAGTAATAGCAATATAGTGCGAAATCGCAAAGCACCGAAAAAACCAACTACTTTCAGCAGATAGCAGGATAGAAGCCGTACTCACTTGCCACCAGAGAATTAACTCAAGCACACGCACTTCTTTTTCTCTGTTTTTCACAAAGAAACTGCAGCATATATTTTGTCCCGCGAGAATCAACAGGACTGAAAACAGAAGATCTGCTATTTTCTGATCCAAACTGTACCCGTGAGAGGCTATGTGACGCCCAGCCAAAACGTTTTGCAAAACAATCATCATCGAGGACAGAAAGGACGCGCCTCGTACGCGACGGACTCTCTAGCTTTTTAAAACAACACGTTACTCGGGACATTACTACTTGTAGTTTCGAAGCCGGACCCGGCGTGATAGAGTTCGTCAAGTTATCATTCTACCAAGGAAAGCAGGAATACAAATGTGTCTTAAAGACACTGTGGGAATTAGGGTGGCTTAGTGCTTGTAAGAGAACATCATGGCACGGGTACCCACCTCCTCCTGACAAACCAACTTTTCTTAATTCCAATTCGATCCGGAATCATAGACAAGGAGTGCTACAACTAAACCGTTATTTATTTATTTTTTTTAATTTTTATTATTTGCGGACTCGATCTTCGATTTACCTCACAGTTACCTATCCTTGTTATGAAAGGATATATTTATACATAATCCATCTTGAGTAAGCCATCTCTTGTTTTTCACCTATAGCGCACTTTTTAAGCGCGCTGTTAATTTAGTAGGGCAACTTTAGAATTGTGAAGAGAGAATTAAGTTTAATTCCCTTTTTCCCCCAAAATATTCCGTTTCTAAAAGAGGTTTGCGTTACAGTAGGGATGCAATTCTTAATTCTGTGAAAAGGTCATTCGAGTACGTGAAGGCTCCCAAAATATTCTGCGTTAAAAAGCGTGACATTTGCCATGCGATTTGTATTACAATTTTTAAACGACTTTAAAAAAAGGTCATTTCCGTCGTCGTGGAGATAAAGGATATTGCCATCGCGGTTTTTATATTATGTGGTTCTTCAGTAAAACTAGCCTAGGTAGCAAGCGTTTCCGTTTGGTTTCGGAATATAACAGACAGTGGAAGGGGATTTTCGGTTTTGACCGCGCGAGAAATGAAACGAGAACCAGAAAATAGGGAGCTTAAGCAACAGCGTTTTTGAGCGACGGACGTCAACCGGAAGTGGACTTTTTCCATCATTGGGGAAGGAAAACTCTCTCGGGAAAAAGAAACTCAGCAATACAAGTTTGTTAGCGTCAAGGCATATAAAAAGGGAGAAGGCCTCACTTCCGGTTGACGTGCGTCGCTCAAAAACGTCTTTGCTTAAGGTCCCTAATGAAAGGGGGGGGAGGGGGAGGAAGGAATTCCTGATGCTCCTGCTACAATTGTTATGTTGTTATTGACAGTCGATATCTTGCCGAGCCGCAGTAACCTGGGAGGCTGCCAAGCCCGCTGTCATAGAAACAGTTGAGGTTGCGCCACCTAAAGCGAGTGAGGTGCGAATCAAGATGATCAACACAGGTGTCTGTCATTCAGACAGCACAATGGCGAGCGGAAACAAAGGAGATTTCTTTCCAGTTGTACTTGGGCATGAAGGAAGTGGCGTTGTAGAAAGCGTTGGGGAAGGAGTCACTACAGTGAAACCAGGTAAATAAATACATACAGTCAACTCCCTCTCTCTTAACAACAAACGTCTTTTATGAAAATGAAGAAATGATCGTCGCAGTGAACGCAATTTATGCAATTGCGTAAAGAAGCCTAAAAAAAAAAAAAAAATTCAGGACTTCAACGGGGTTTAAACCCGTGACCTCGCGATTACCGGTGCGATGCTCTACCAACTGTGCTATGAAGTCACTGACGTTGAGAGCAGCTCAATTGTGGGTTCATATGTTCCTATGAAAGAAATGAGTGTTTTAGACGGATATGCCCGTAAAACGGACGCCTCACCCTAGTATTCTGCAGTCATCTTCCCGTTATAAGGCGAAACCTCTCTGTGACGGTCCGTTAGTGCCAGTCCTACTCCGTTTAGCACAGACACACCAACATTTGCTTGTCAAGAATATTAAGTGTCACAAAATTTACAAGAAATTGTGTATTCGTACAGGTTTTGTTAAAATATGCGCTAAAAAAATTCGGTAAAAACCAACGTTTCGAGGGCGTTCTATCACGCAACTGCTTTGAAAAAAGAAGAGGAAGTGCACTCAACACGTTCGTCTTTTCCGAACTTTTCAGCGTACATTTTAACAAATATTTGATTTTTATTAAGGACATTAAGCCTTACCCCGAGAGAGGATACAAGCTCCGTACATATCACTTGATTTTGCGTTGTCTTTAGGAGACCATGTTGTACTAACCTGGGTCCTTAATTGTGGAGAATGCAAGCTTTGCCTGAATCCACTGACCAATCTGTGCAGCAGGTAAATGTAAATAAAATATTTGCAACCTAAACGCAATCCGTATAACCTTATTTTCACCCTCCTTTCTTCCTTCTTCCTTCCTCTGTTCCCTTCTGTTTTAGTTTCTTTTCTTCAGTTTTTCCTTCCCTCCACACAAATTGAATTTAAACTTTTATGTGGAATTAACGTTGATTTTGTCCAATGTTCCACAATAGTTTCGCGCTTGATAAAGCCGTATTGCTTGATGGAACAACACGGGTGACATGCAAAGGGAAGAGTATAAAGCAATTGACCAGGCTTGGAACCTTCAGTGAGTACATCGTCGTTCCTGAAATACTTGTTGTGAAGGTAGGTGCAGGGACTACTCAACCTGTGCAAGGTTTGACCTGTTTCAAAAGAACACTACAGTCGAACCTGGCCGGTCTACGCCACCCGCTTAATACGGACACCAATTAATGCGGACAACGGACACTTGTTTCCTGCCCAATCAACAGTTTCTCATCGAAAGTCAACCTCGCTAATGCGGATACTTCATTGTCAGGTGTGCGCTGTAATAGACCTTTCCCTTTTGAAGGTGATAAAAACCTTCAGTTGACAGCATGTCCATGTCCCCAGCGCTACAGTACACCGGATGATTCGTAGACGTCAATTTCAGACTACTTTGGCATGCATCAAACAAGTCATGCAGAGAAATGTTTTGATTAAGTAATACAGTATATAGACGAGCAATTTTTGAGTGCTTCCATGGATTTAGTCTGCGGAATGACAGGTTTGTGAAGGATAGAGAATGATGTTTAATTTGACGATGCTCATGTCCTCTTTTATTTGTTTGTATAAAAAGGGTGACGTTTTTCAGGCGGACACCCCGTTAACATGAAGACTTTCTATGGCCTCATCCGTATTAACGCCGTTTGACTGTTTAATGGCCCATTTTCAACATCGCATGACTTTTTGAATCGCTCGAAAACTGTTTTGAAGCCTCTGCAAACGCCAATTTTATTTTGTCCTATCCAAAACGAAAACGAGCCTTTCCCACCGTTAGAAGGGTCATGTGATATTGAAATGGGGCCATTGATTAAGGTAGCTCACAACAATTTAAAGCATCATTGCTTGGCACTTCTCAACAGAATATATACCTTTGTAACCAACAATGACATAACCCCACGTCATTGTCACGTTGTTTTTCTTCATGAAGATACCTCAAGATGTTCCACTGGACAAGGCCTGCTTGTTAGGTTGTTGTGTAACCACTGGATATGGTGCTGCAATTAACACCGCGAAGGTAACGCAACACACATCGTATAACTAATGTAACAATGATCGATGTGCGGGAGTGAAGTGAAAGGGGCGGGATAGCCTGCGAACGGAGACGTATTTCCAGTCGTCGCTTCCCTCGACCCTTTTCGGGCGGAGAGAAGCGCCAACCGGAAATAAGTCTGCGTTTGCAGGCTAGGGGCGGGAGTGCCTTGTCAGAAAAGTGGAATTAAACCCCTGAATTAAACCAATGTGGGCGTGGTTCAAGCCTAATTTTACCCATATGCAATTCAAAATCGGACAGCCAAATAAGAGCTGTAGTCATTTTAATTCCGATAATAATGACGTTGTAATTGATTCTTTCTTTCTTCTTTTGCTTTCTTTATTTCGCCTCGCAAAGCCCCAAGTGAGACCTTAAGGGTAAAAAGTGGCGTTACATGCTATTACGATACGACGACTGTTGCCACCCTTTTCCAGATAGGTGACCATAACATGTAAACAGCCTGCTCAATGCGCATGCCTAGAAATAACATAATTACCTTGTTAACGTTGGCCAGCTACGAAGACTCTTTTCACTTAGGAATTTTATTCAGTTTAAAAATATTTTTGAATGGTCAGTTTTATTTGTCTGTTACCAAACCGCTAAGGTGATGTACTCCGGCTGGCCTAGGGTCAATTTAATGAAACTTTTACAAGTGTAGCCATTGTTTTAGAGTCTGAAAACAATAGCTACATTTGTAAATTACACTAAGCTTGTAAACGTTTTATTAAATTGACCCCTGGTGATGGTTGCGCCTCATTTTTAAGAGCTCTGAATTCTTTTTGTTCTTTTTCTAGGTAAAGCCTGGATCTAGTGTGGCCGTGTGGGGACTGGGCGGAGTTGGGCTTTCTGCAGTGATGGGTTGCAAGGCTGCTGGTGCCGCGAGGATAATTGGGATTGATATTAAGCCTGATAAATTTCCTTTAGGTTGGTGGTACTTTAAAAACAACATCTTTATGATTTATTCACCGAGCTTAGCATTTATCTTCCTTCACAACTGATCATCGCACAAGATGCATCCAAGATTGCTGGTCGGCCTAGAAAGTATGCAAGACGCGTTTCACACTATGAATTTCTGTTAAATAGCGTAGACAAATTAAAGCCTGCCCGTGAGCAAGCGCACGTTTTTAGAACGCGAGAGGAGAGGAATCAAGTGTGTCACGTGGAAAGTGCATGACCTACGGCTCTCGTGATTTCCAGCCACCCGCGAGAGCTTGCCCTTAGACTCGGCCCAACCCCCCGGGAGTTCCTCCTTAGCTCAGTGGTTATCGAACCCGACCATGGCTGTTCAAGGACGCCGATCTCGTTGAAATATTTTCTTTTCCCCCGGTTTTGTTTCATCTTTCTTGTACGAAAGAGAGCGAAACAACAACAACAACAACAACAACAACAACAACATCATCAAAAACAGAACCAAAACAAAATTAGTCAAAAAATTAAAAATTCACTTTTAATCCAGTTGAAGAAATATAAAATCAAAGAAAACGAATTTGTTCAATTTCCCGCTGCCTCTACTTGCAATGTTTTGATCCGGTCACATCTCTTTGTACAGTCAAACACCTCGTTATTACGGACAGTTCTATGCCCCACGTAGTGTCCGTAGTAACGGGGTTTGTTTTTAATTATTTTCTTCCAGCAAAAGAGTTGGGCTGCACTGAGTGTATGAACCCTAAAGATTATGATAAACCTATCCAGCAGGTTTGTTTTAACCTGGTTTCAACGTATGCTGTCTTATAAATCATATTAGGCTGATTTAGCAACAGAATGGGAAAGTTAGTTGGCGACGGCGCGCACAAATCAAAAATCAAACAACTGGCTTGACCAATGGCAGAGCGGCAAATTGGGCACCGGAAGCCGAGTTTACTCCCTTTCGCGCGCTTTCCCGTTGTCAAATGAAGTTCCCGTTCTGTTGCTAAAGCAGCCTGGTACTAGCTAAAGACCCTTTGATTCTAAGGGGTTGTTCACATGAAGAGAGCAAGCTCTTAGCACCAGGAAGATCCAAGAAGGCGGATCATCCTAGCGCCATATGTTTCATCTGTATTCAGTTTACGGGCAAAACGTTTTACTTATCCCTAGCGCTAGGATCTTCAAAGCTGAGAGGTAGGACGATCCTAGCTAGTACTAGAAAGATCTTAGCACCATGTAAACTGCCATCCCTTCGCTATGAAGATCCTAGTACTAGAGACAAACCACAGAAAAACGGCAGAGGATCGTTCAGTGGATAATCTCTAATGTCAAATTTTGTCTCTGCTGTTTACAACACGGGCCGAAATTTCTGTATGTAAAGCCAACGAAAAGTTGTTCCGTGTTCTAGGATTTTCCCCCCCCCCACCCTTGTTAACAGCCCCTTAAAACGAGGGCGTTTATGAGGACGAGATTTTCTCAATACTAAGGTCATTTTGGCGGGAGATGTTATAGCCGTCATCATTCTAAAAACTATAAGTTAAACCTCCTCCTCGTCCTTTAATATAAAGGTCTCTACTGAGAAGAGTTGGTAGACGAGAGAGCCGATTAAAACATCCTGAATGAAAGCAAATAGTCTCCAGCACATGCTTCTACGTAATTCACACAGTGAATCTAGATCTCCACTGCAGTGACTCCGAGTATAAATACCTAGTAATAAATGAATACCTAAATTCTCAATCGGTAGAGCGCTGGTAGATCCTGTCTACAGGTTGCGAGTTCAAACCTCGCGGAATTCAAGACCATCAAATTCTTTAATTTCTGGTTTATACCAGTTTCATTTCTACAACATGTTGTTCGGAAGGATTTATACAGTTTCCTACTTCTCAGCAATTCAAAACATTACACAATTCACACTTGAGTTCGCTTCCCAGCTATAGCCTATTGACCTAAAAAACGTCCAGGCACTATGGGAACCGATATTATTGCTGAGAGAGAACAATTCTTGTCTCCGGAGCCTACTGTATATACCTCACAGCCGGCGAGGGCCTCCTTGCTCCTTGTTCTGCGCCGGCTAATTATAAGGCCTGCTTACGTAGAAGTGGGGGACCCCAGGTAGGTGAGGTAACCCGCTTTGGTGGGGGAACCCGCCTGTCCACATAATCTCTCGTAAGGTCACCCCACCTACCATACAAACGTGATTAAATTAAAATCATTTGAAAGATTATATTTCAGGCGGGTCACCTCACCTAAGCGGGTTACCTCACCTACTTGGGATCCAGGGAACAAGTTCGTCTTTATTTTATTCTCATGCTAAGAGACCCGTGAACATTTGCTAATTTGTAACAAAAAGGGGACACCTCCAGCCCCTTTCCTATTCAAAGACCAGGGCACTAAGCACACTACTGTGAAAATGGTCTATTTTTCTAACCGATTCATCCCTAGACTCACTTGGCTCTTAACGCCGCACTGAACTGAGCAAGAAACGGCCCAGCGGGATACTGAACACAGCCCGGCGACTGAGAACTGATATTCCCATGATTTACTTAGTGTTTGCCGATCACAATGTCATATATATAAGCTCTTTCTCACTTTTGTACTTTTGACTCCGTAGGTCTTAACAGAAATGACTGAAGGAGGACTGGACTTTACGATTGAATGCATTGGAAACATTGCAACAATGGTTAATATTTATTAGTGTTATTTCGTCTCCATAGCTGTCTTCTAAGACGTAGAAGTTGTCTTCGAAAGTTGCACGAAGGTTAAAAATATTGTATTTATTCATCTAGTCAGAGATTAGAGGAGGGCTTTCTAACATTTGCTCATGAAGCGCACAAGTCTACCTCCATATGGTCATCATGGTACTAGAGAGCAAAAAATGCGTCTATGATCTTTTTGTAACAGTTTACGCATATTTCTCGAACATTATGCTCTTTTTAGACTGGGCCTCTTTTCCTCTTTTAACGTAACACGGCGCTAGCGGCAAGGCCGCGAGAAGCGAGAAACGAGACCGTCGTTTCTCGAGAAACGAGGGCGTCGTTTCTCGCGTCTTGCGGCTTTAATTTGTCGATCGCCACTTACGTGTTACACCACTGAATCTAAAAAGAAAAGTAAGAGACTGCTCCGGTCTAGGTAAACTCTAGTCAAAAGAAAAATTAAGGATTAGAATCAATTGATTACAATTTAGGAGACCATAGTAAAAAGCAGAGGAATTCTGGTAATTTAAGACTGAAAGTGTATTAATCGTGGTAAGGATATCGGGGTTAGATTTTCCTTACGCCCCACCCTTCGCTCCCACTATAAGCTAACATGATACTCATTAAATATTCTCTGACTCTTTAGCGCGCTGCATTTGAGTCAAGTCATGTTGGTTGGGGAACAACTGTTATAGTTGGCGTGGCACAAGAACAACTGTCAGTAAATCCTGATCATTTGCTGATGGGAAAGAATATAATAGGATCACTCTTTGGAGGTATGAATCAACATTAATTATAATCACTTTGTTTTGAATAACATCGTAAGACAGCAGAGACCTTTAGATTCGAGGAAGAGAATTGACTTAAAGTTTTTTTCGCACTTTCTCAGAAAATACGCATCCCGGAAAGCTTGATTGAACATTCTTTTTTCTCAGGGACGTTAGCACGGTTATTTTTATTTATGAGGTTAAGCCCTTTCCCCATCGCAAAACAATTAAACTTCTAGCATTTGATGTCTTTAAAACCACGGCTATCACGTTTCCCCGCCAAACCGACGTTTATTCCCGCGCGCGTACAACTTTGTATTGAGAAAATCTTGTTCTCGTTGTCGCCCTCGTCTTAGTAGAGACCTTTAGATTCTGAGACGAGTACGAATACGAGTACGAGATTTTCTCAATACTAAGTAGTGCACGTGCGCGAACCAGCGTCATTTTGGCGGGAAAACATGATTGCCGTCGTCATTCTACTACGAGTTTTAGGGAGAGTGACGTGGTATAAAAGGAAACAAGTTATAAAGTGTTAAAGGTTTTATCATTTTGCGGCCGGTAGATGGCTTTTAAGCTTAAAAGCTCCTTCAGTAAAGATAACAGTGCTAAATTCTGGTGAAAAAGAAGTGCAATGAAGCTTTCCAGCGTGTTTATCATTTGAGAATACGCGAAAAAACTGTAAGTCAAATCTCGTACTCGTAGTTGTCCTAGAATCTAAAGGTCTCTAGTATCTAAAAAGGTGTCTAATGAGTCAAGCAAGACTAACACAGCGTATACTTTTGGTCACGAGGTCTCGCGTACAGCATCTCAAAAAGAGATATTTTTCGCTTGCATCGTCTCTGCAGCTATCGAATACTTGTTATAGATGTCGTTTTGCCGTGGCTTTTTTTGGTTAGGAGTATGTAGAGTAGAGCGGATCTGATTGGGTGAGTCTCCTTTTGCTCAGTACTTTCTGCTCGAGCTTACATTATAATACTCTTATTTTCTGCCTTCACCTCGTTTTGTCGGTATGTAACTTAACTTACAGATCATCTTTTTATTTCTCCTGGATCAGGGAAATCGCCTGAAAAAAAACTGGGCCCTTGTTGGCATAACCATATTAACACCACTTCTGTCATCTTAACTTTCACCACTGGACCATCTGGTTTTGATAAAACTCGTCAAACCTCCTTGTCTTTGCATTTACAGCCTCTGTACCGACCCGTGCAAAGCACACATGCAGATGCCTGAAATACTTTAGATGGCCTCTATTTGACTTCTTGCTTTTGTCTATTTTGGTTGTTTTACCATAAAGCAAGCATCTCATGCTTTTACCATTGCCTGCCAATCTCACATCGTCTGGGTTTTCGAGAACCCCTTGAGTTTTTCATAAGTTACTGAGAGGCAACTCACTCCAACTTTTTTTTCTAACGGTCTTTGTTTACTTTTTGTGTTTTTTACCCACGTAAGTTATTGACTGCGTTGCCGGTCCAGGTAGGGGTGTCGCAACAAGTGAAGCCTGAGGCTGAACGCGAACTTTTACTAAAGGCGTTGTTTATTGTTCCTTTTTGAAAGCAATACGAACGGCGTTTGTTTGGGGGTAACCTGGTTTAACGTGGTCCACATGAAATATTTCTGCTGCTTAATCAGCAAATCCGCTCTTTGCGGCAGAATCGTCAATTAGCTTCAATTCCACGCGCAAACATGCACATGTAATTCCCCCTACAACAAACCGCTGAACTGACCATACGAGCTTCATGATAACGGAGTTGCGGCGTTGCATTGGACACGAACGCCAATAAAAAAGAAAAACAGACTGACACGATCATACTTACTGCCGCAGGTCACTGGTATACAGCATATTTTTATTTTAAGTTAAAAAGTAGGCACATCTGAGCAGTTGCGTCAAATAATATAGTCGAAGATCTTGAAAGGAGAGAAATCCCATTCCAATTTTGCGGTGAAATTGTTTATCCCTTTCCCAGTGGTTAAATCCCAGCTCCAGTGCAGTAAATCTCATTTTCCCTGTACAGAAAAAGGTAAATCCCAGTTCCCATTTTACCTCACCTTTGGACCTTCTTCCAATACAAACCTCGAACTCGGCTAATAAAAGGTTATTTCCTTTCGACCTTTTTTTGTTTGTTTGTTTTGTTTGCAAGGATGTGTTGCACACGAAATTATCCCTAAACTATCGCAAGAGTACATGGCTGGAAAATTAAGTCTTGAGAAGCTCATAACTCACACGATGCCTCTGGATAAGATAAATGAAGCTTTTGATGTCATGTTTGCTGGGAAAAGGTTTGTCACCAAACAAATTGTAGCTTTTACAGTTAACATAATTTCTCTTTCGATGTTAATAGGTAGGCTTTTTGGAGGTGGTAATCAAAACCTCTGGGTGGCGTTTTTTTTTTTGCGTATTGGTAAATTTATTTGACGTTCTCTATAACAAAACAATATCAAGTGATTGAGTTCAAACTTTTAAACAGAGCGTAAAAGCCTAATAGTCATATTAGTTTCCCTTTTTTTCTTAAAGTCACAAACGGTCTTTACTATAAACGCCATGACAGCCTACATCGCAAAATGACCGGAGGTTCGAGAGGCACTGTGCCACATGAATTATTGCCATTTATTATATAGACACGACTGTTTTAGTGGAAAATAAACCACTCGTAAAATTCATAAAAACTACATCCGGGACCCGAGTGGTTTATTTTCCATAATCTCACATGTGAGTTTATCGATGACGTAATTTCGGTAATTTCCCTCTATTATTTTATCGATGTCATATCTTCGCGCCACCGTGTAATACCCTCTATAAGTTTGTTCAAGAGCGTGTAATTTCATCACTTCCACGGGTGCACCTAAAGCATCAAGACTTGGATTTCAAGTGAATCTGTGGATGGATCAAAGCAGAAAAGAATCATTCCTAGACACGATGACACAAATTTTTAGAAAAATAACTCGCCTGACTTTTTGAAATTGCCACCCTTCTCGTATCTTTGTTCATGGCAAAACGGAACCGTGGATAGTTTAATTGCACTTACAAAGTACTCCTTAGCAAAACATACCTCCATCGCGGGACAGTCATGATCAGTACCTCTTTGGCAAGACGAATTTAGTCGCATCTTTCGCTCTCTGAACTGGAAAAGATATGGATTTGATTGTTTTTTCTAAATTTTATTTCCTTTCTTTGTACAGCATCCGGACAGTCATTTACCTCTAAGGTATGTGGTGAAAAATATCAGAATTATAGAGAAAGAGTTGTTTTTGTTTTTAGATTAGTTCAATCAAGCAATCAATGAATCGTTTATTTATCCGGTGAGCTAAAAGACTCGTTCAAAATACGTACGTGCTAACATAAAATTGTCTTTAAATCAAGAGAATAAAAAATATATTAGATGTATATATATATAACAACTAGATTTGCCATGAAAACTAAAATACAATGTACAACTGCAAATGTCACTATAAGAATTATGATGACTAACAATTGCTATGAATACGTATAAATAGATAAAAGCTGATTCTAATATACAAGATTGAAACTGGAACTTCAACAGTCTTTATGGACATAGACTTGGCATTATAAGTCAGTGGTCTCACGAACGTTTTGCAGCCATCCATGCCCTATTCTAGTTCAAAGTATAAGGTTTTTTATTTTTTTCTTTACAGAAATCAACTGGTAAAACTGACTAAGGAGTCAAGGTTTTTACTGAAATATCGTCGAAGTCATAAACGTTCTCTGCTGTAAACGCCCTAATGACTGCCCCTGCAGAGAATAATCATTAGATGTTTAAAATTTGAAAAGCCGAATAACTTACACAAAAGATATTGCTATTGCCCCATGTAACCGCAATTATATCCTTTGTCTACTGCTTTCTGATCAGGAACAACATCATCGTGTAAGTTTTTTTTCGTTGTTTTCTCTTTCTTTGTACAGCTTTCGAACAGTCATTTGTTTTTGAGGTATGTACGAGTACAAAACATATCAGATATCATATTAAATCCCAGAGTTCTGAGCTACCTGCAGCCATGTCGTTTCAGTTCTCGCAATAACGTTTATGTTTAAACTGAGGAGACATTTTTTCTACAAGGATAATGGACGTTTTTCTTTCAAAGATTTATATAAAGGAGAATAAAAATTGCTTTTGCGATGTTTGAAGTTTGATGTAATACTTTAATAAAGAGTTTTAGCACCGACGACGCGTACGACTGCAAGTAGAAGATTTGAAGACAAGTTTCGACAGTGGCATTCGTAAGCCCTATAGCGGCTTGTCCACGCTCGCAGGTTTTTTTTCCACTCCAGCTGAGCAATCACGCGATAAGCCGTGTTAATACCAAGGCTCCCTCTTAAACACCCTGAAGGTCCTTGAAGACCCTGAGAACTTGCGTCCTCTACAGTATCCGTCTTTTGCTCCTGCACGTCAAAATGAGATCTCGCTTCGCTAGAAGCCTTAGTCGATATAGGCTCCAAGCGGATATAGATAAAAGAGCCTATAGACTATATCAGAATACAGTCGAACCTCCATGTGCGACCACCTACCGGAAACACCAAAATTCCCCCAGTCAAAGCCTTACAGTTGAAACAGTCTAGTAAAGGACTGCCTCCTGTAAGCGACCCCGATCACTTTTTGGGCCAGACGGTTAATGATTTTCCATTGTTTTTAACCTCTTGCAAGTGACCACTTGACGCATTCTCTGATCTCTATGTTCGCGTTATGCGCCCTATGCTTGTTACAATATACGAGGAACTTTAGTGACAATATGGAACTACACATGTAGTAACTTAGACATTAGGTGCAATAAATTATCTTCCATAAAGACACATTGTTCAATTCTTGTAGTCGACAACCTCCCGTAAGAGTCAGGAATTAGACCTCTAGCTAGACGATAGGTTTTTAAAAACAAAGCATTTGATTTCACAGAAAAAAGAAGGGAGGGAATGCCCACTGGGCCTATGACAACATGTCACACCTAGGACTAAAAATCGTTTTAGCCTGTAAAAGCCTTACGTGACGGTCCATGTGCAAGGCATTCATTGATGGACTTAAACGTAATTCAACGCTGTTACAAGCCCGGGGGGGTACTCCCGCGAATTTTGGATAGTGGTGTGCCGCGAAGGTTCGAGAACCCTAACCCTATTTAAGGACTAAGAAAGCGAAAACTGATACCCTTTTTAAGGCCGAAAGCCGAAAATGACACCCTATTCAAGGAAAAAACAAAATTATTAATAGCATGAAAAGGAAAACTTTATTTCTTCTCTGTAACATTGGATGTATAGCATCAAGCATAAAATACTAGAACAATTCTAGTTTAAAAAAAAAATGTTCGTTTAGGCGGGCGTTTTCACACTCCAGTATTAGATAATACAATTAAGCTACCCTATCTAAGGACCACACCAGGGACACAGAAACAAAAGGGTCAAAAAAGATACCCTATTTAAGGACCGAGAACCTCAAAAACCATACCCTATTCCGCGGCACGTACCTATATAGCCCATATATGAGAGTACCCCCCCCGGGGTTACAAGGTACAATTACACAGAAACAGACTGCTTTGATTTCTTCACAAGGATCTTTTTTCCCGAAATGTCGGAGACAGTAGGGAAGGTAAGTCTTACCAATAACTTTATATCCAGTGGAAAGCTGATAGATTCTAAGATAAAATATTGGCCTCCGAGTAGTCTGTACCGAAAAGACAAATCGCAAAGCACGGAAAAACGAACTAACCGATGACAAGCAGTACGGTAGCCGTTCTTACTCGCCACCCTTGAACTGATTAAAACACACACACCTCTTGTTTTGTCTATAATTAACAGGTCTGAAAACTTACAACGTCGCAATTTATTGATCCCAAATATGAAAGCCAAAGACTGAAGGATACGAAGCTTCCTGCGTAAGGAAAATCAGGCATCTGATCATGTGGGCGAGGACCGCGGACTCCAGGACTGACTTTAGGACAAACGATCAAGCCGCTACCAAAAAAATCACATGGTCACTCGATTTACGATCGGCCTGTAAAAGGATGCATGATAAATTTTGACGGAGGTGACTTTCGCTTTAATTTTTCTTCACATTAGTCGATCAGTTACTTCCTTTAGCTATCAGCTAACGGGAGATGGTTTGATTGCGGCCTTGCGTTTTTAGCAGAAGGTATACGTAGCTCTATGAAAAGGTCTTTACAAAGGTCAACTGCGTTGCGTTTGAAGAAGTGTGACATTTGGCCGTCCGACATTCAAAAGATTAGTTGCGTGGTGGTGGAATTAAGGATATTGGCATCGCGGTACGTTTTTAAAATGATCCGGTATTTAGACTTCAGTGAATTTCGTGAAAAAAAGTAAAATATAAGATTCTTTTTAATTTATATATATATTTTTTTCCAATAGGTTCTAGATACGTTCTAGATGGAGTTGAATGTTAATTGTCATTCGCCAGATTTTGTATACGTAGTCAAAGTTAAACGTCCGCGTTTTAGTGTTTAGCAAGAAAATAGAGTTTTCAGTAAATGCCTTTGATTAAGTAATACAGGGCCTACAATTCCAATGTTCAGTATTGCAGCTCTAGACACCCATGCAGACCCTAATCCGTCCAATTGTAAATTGTTTTATGATTAATGTGAATACTTCTTGAAAAAATTTTCATGATCAACACGGGACACGTATCCGAGGGAGGCGTGGTGAGGTCAGTCCTAGTGGCCATACATGGGCGAGCGTCCTTGTTCTATCCTTACCACGCGTTAATGTAACCGAGCTCGATAATTAGCTCACAAAGCATTTTCTTTTCGGTATTATTTTTGCGGTTCCGTTTATCGTTTTCCCACGGTACGCGTTTCTTTAGTTGTGCTTTGTGGTTAGCCGTGTTTTATCTAGCTCTGTGATTTCTCCGCCTTTACACCCATAAACAGGAAAGAAATTAATTGATTTTAGCTCGCTTTAATTTGCCGCCATTGCTGTAGTTAACCGCGAAACTCTCCATTTGTTTCCTCCTATTGTATTAACAGAACACGTATGTATTTTGCGGTAAAGCGATAATAGTGTTTCGCAAACAGGCGTATTGCCAAAAGGAAGATTTCACTGTTTTGTGGCTTACCTAGCTATAGTTGTCCAATTGTATTGCTAATAACAGGATGCGAGCTGTTTGTGTTCCGCGCGATATAAATACGCCTGCACGTAGCGTTTCTACGCATTACTACAGTTCCAGTTGCCGCGTTCACTAGTCAAGCCGTAGGACATAGTTTTGTAGAGTTCTCCCCTCGCTGGAGTGGGTAAGTGTTCTCCTTTTTACTGTTTTTCCTAGGATGTTCTTCGTTCTC